AGATTGAGAGACGTGAAGATTCGATCAAAAATTATTCAGGGTGGTCCGTTTTTTTGCGCACTGTACATAGAACACCGATATGATCTCATATGTATGTATTTTTAGAATTATTTAATAAAAATGAGTTTAAAACGCAATGCATATTAGGAATTAGAATAATAGAACAAAAATGTTTTCGAATTCTGAAAAATCATTATTTAAGTCAAAAGAACAGCAAAAGGGGTGCATTAAACTCATCAAAAGCTGAAAGCTTTGCTGGCGAAAAGCGAGTACAACACAGTGCCAATCGACAAACAAACTAGTTTTTAATGATTTTTGTAACATGAAATTATGTATGAAAGGAAATCCTCTTCGTGAAATTCTTTTATTTATGAATTAAAAATAAAAGAAAATATTTTTGCAAATGGATGTTATAGTATGTTTAAAATGAAGCTAATGATTTCCGAAGTTTTAAATTCATTTGAAAATATTTCCTGAATGAAATGTCAAATAACATTTACACTTAAGAACCTCAGAAATGTACAATACATAGCCTCAGAATATAAATTTTATTTAGACATACTCAGAAGTTTTTTACTGTATGTTTTTGGTTGTTCAAAATCACTACAGCTTTTTCGATTCAAAGTTGTTCCATCAAATAAAGTTCAGTAAATACTAGCAAGATTCTATTATTTCCTTACATATTGGTAAGTATTTTAATAAAATTGATATAATAATTGAAAACTACAGCTTTCAGTTAAACATTCATTAAAAATTAAAAAGTCAAATAATAAGTGAAAGTTAATTTTAGTTGTAAGCTTACAACTTTATTTTCACATGAATAGATTCAAGCATTTAAAAATATGCTTAACTTGCTTAGATGCAAGGACAGTTCCCTGCATCAGAAAGGTTCTAAGTTCGAATCCCGGGAAAGGCATGGATGTTCTTTGAAAGGGAATACTGAACAGAACAATTAAAAAAATATGTATAAGTTTATTTGCTTTCCTTTTTTTTGTTATTTGTTGCCTTTCCTGATAGTTTTACGTTATAAGATTAAGGAAAGAAGATTACTCATCATAAAAAATATTAACTATACACCACGAGGCACTGAAAACAATGCTATTGATTGAGGCAGAACGCATGGTACTTAAGATTTTCCACAATAGAGTAATTTTCTCGATGCATATGCTCATCAATACATAACTTAATAATTTTTTACTGCTATTAACTCTATGTTATTTAGATTGATATAATTCATGTCAAAAGCGTTACTAAAGAAGAAAAAAATAATTATTAATAAAACACGATTGTCAGTAGTAAAGAAAGAAAATCCTTTATCTTCTAACTCATTTTGTTTTATTTTATAACTGGCTCTGTACAGCCGACATAATTCTGAGTTTACTGCTATCAATGTTCAATTCCTTTGCCTTGTGATTTTGAACCCAGTCCAGAAGACAAGGGAAATTCAGAAACGTGCAATAGACAAACTAGCCTTCGTGAAAAACTTTTGATGGAACTAATCCGTATTGTGTGAAGAGAAAAACCATAAATCTGGAGAGAAAATTCATAAAAAAAAAATCTTCATCTACTAATTCATTTTATCTATTTTTTTATAACTGGCTTTGAACGGCCATCTTAATTCTAACTGCTTCCTAATTATCAATGTTCAATTTCGCAGCCAATCTCCAATTTTGAACGTTATCCAGAAGACAATTAAGGAAACTCCTGGATCAAGCATTGAGACAAACTAGCCTTCGCGGAGAACTTTTTGATGAAACTTACCAGCATTTGCGTTACATAGACAGGAAAATCAGAAAAATCTTCCAAGACTAGATCAACGGCAAGGGATTCTAACCTACGATCTTTCAACCACTAAGGATGTTTTATAGCAGCGCTGTGGTTGGTGCGGAATTCGTCGGTGAGGAGCGGAGTTCGTAGTAACCAGTCACCGCTGGGATTCGAACCTAAATCACCTCATTTCGGAGTAGGTTATAATATATTTGTAAATAAAAGATTTAACTCAAGTATTTTGCAAAACTCTTGAATATTTTCGAGTTATAATAAATCGTTGATACAACACTAAAAGCACGAAACTGCCATTTAGCAATTAGCAGATTCGTGAGTTTTGGTACCATGGTAACAATATTTCCAAGATACATTTAGAATGCAAAGTTTGCCTTGACTTATTAACATGAGGAAATAACATCGTTAAATTGGTAAAGAATGCATTAATTTCATTGAACACTTAAGTGTTATATAATATACTTCATACTTTTTTTCAATGCATTTAAAAAATGCTTTGGTTTACAACTCACACAACCATATTTTGCTTTAATTGTCATTTTTCTGTTTTTGGAAGTACGAAATATTACTTTGCCCTCATGGGAATACTGATAAAAATAGACTCGATCCCTGTTCTATATTAGAATGTCCCAAAACACGATGTAACCTAGCTCGCAGGCTACACTATTTTCCAAAACGATAGAGTATGAAATATATATCAATCAACTCTTTGCGAACATTCATTGACATTATGCAAAGCACCAGACTAATTGAAAACGTCTGTAATTTTGAATCGCAGCCTGACACTTTTTACGCTCGCATTACCTCGCTGCATTGGCTGCATTAGGGTCGCTGCATTGAGTCCACATTCCCATAGGTTAAATTGAAAATATATATTTATGTACATTTCATTTTCCAATTTGTCTGTTTCATTTCAAGAAACCTTATTGTAAGTAGCCAGCCTTATTAAAGATTTATTTCAAAAAGCCTAAACAAATTTAGTCTGATAAAATATTTCTTCGAACATTTCCAAATTAACATGATGGCTAGGTAGTATAAAGCCTAAAAAATATCAGTCAGGTTAGAAAATACTTGAAACTTTTGTAATTAGCCTGGTACAGAGAAAAATGTCAGCGACATAAAAAAAAGAAGCTGGAATTTTACAATAGCCGATAACGCGAGTAAATCAAATTATGTCATGCAAATATATTTTTAAATTGTCGGATAGCCTACAAATAATTTATTTATGAGAATATGTAAATTTTCGAAACGTTTATTTACCCCTCCTTAATATACATTTTTTTTAACCACTAAAGGAACAAAAATTATATTTGAAACTTAGCAAAAAATCGATATCCCTAAAAGATACAGAACTTTCAAATAAAATGAGTTATTTAGAATTGTAATTGACAAAAACACATTTAGTGATTTTACAAAGTATCGACTTTAAAAGCTTAGCGTTTATGTTATTATTCTCTATCATTTTGGAACAGTTATTATGTTTTAATTTTCATTTTATAGGCTCTTAGTTTGGAAAGAGAGTTTCTAGAATCAATTGATTTATTTACAACAACATTTAATTTTTTCCCGTTACCTGAACGACCATTTCTCATTATTTATTTTGTTAGCGAATCTTTTTTTACAAGTATATCATATAGGGGGACGTTTATTATACTTTCTTTTACTTGTTTCTTAAAATAATTTATTTTATGCATTTTTTAAAAAAATTAAGATTGTTTATTTTAATTATACTAGGTTGATTATTTTATTGCAGGTTGATGTTGCTAAGCCAACCGTTACTATGAATAATTCTTATGCGCTCATGATACAATGAATGAAAAAAGAAAGAAAAATCAAGAAAAACAGGGATAAAATTCATTAACCTTTTAATTGGCAAATTAGAGCATCAACTTGTTGTAAGAGAATTGGCAAACTAATATATGAATAAATAAAAAAGTTTATAAACTTATAATTTCTCATACATCAATCAAAAAATATTTATTTTCCCCATTAAAAATATACTGATATAAGGACAACTTCGCGTTCCTTAGAATTTAGTTATGATATCACGGATCATATGTCACGGATTTTATGTTAATTTACTTTCCGGTTTTCTACAGTGTCTTTCCCAATAAAATACAAATGGCGATTTATTATACAATTCATTAATTGTAGATGTTTATTAATTGTTATACAGTTGATTAAGTATCACGGAAGGGGTACAGAGTGCAAAATAAAAATACATCCCCTTAATAAATAACGTTTGTTTTATTGATCGGATGTCCACGCACTAAGTGCCAATCTTAATGTCTCAAAAAAGTGACACCCAATATGCTAAAATATTAGTGCTGCAGTAGCTTTGTATCTTTCTAACTGTACTTGTCAGTTTTAATTTGGAGATAAATTAAATTTTTAAAAAATATGTTGAAAGATATTTGTAAACAGAAAAACGTATGAAATCCTTAGCTTATTAAATAAAAACAAAATTTATCAAATAGAGAAAAAAATTAAAAATATCGTCTCTCCATCAAGGTTTATATTTCGCTGATTTTATAAATTTCTTTATGTTTGTTACAGCAATCAAGTATTTTATCATTTATATTTTTACTATTTTTAAAAGCTTTTTTTATTTTTTTTAAAATTTATTGTTTGTAATTAATGTAAATTTTTAGATTACATGTAAGAAAAATAAATACTCTATTTTCAAAATATTAGTTACATTTATCAAATACAAAAATATATCGCACATAATTTAGAAAACTAAATACGCAGTATTTAAAAACGTTTTTAATAATTTAATTTATTTAAGCGAAAAAAGGAAGAAAAAAAATTTCCACCTATTTAAAAGAAAGAAAATTTTATTTTAATGATTAAATTTGAACAAAATTTATTTATTATATAATTCCCTTTAATTAAATATTTTTATTTTAGTATATTATTTTTATTAGTCCTATAACTAATTCATAAATCTGCTATTAATCTATTTAGAACTTTATTTTGAGTATTGTAAAGTGCGGCGAACAGAACTTTATTTTTTCTTGTGCAAACGCTACATTAATTTTTTCAAAACTTTTTCTGTTTGTTATCTTACTAAATTCATGAGTGGTTGTCAGCTATCCGCAATTGCTCTACATTTGATTAGAATGAAATAATACGTGAATAATAATATTCAAGAGCTAAATTAAACAAATTTATCGAGATAATCGTTTTCCATGGATTTTCTCGATGACGCACGCAAGGACGCAAGAATATCAAAAGCTGACAAGCGTCAGGTTTTTACATTTTAATGCACCTATTATTCATTTACCGATCGTCAAGTAAGCACTTACGTCTCTATCAGTTCTGTCAGAATAGATAACTTGAAAAAATAGCGAATGTTTATCTTTCATCACCGGTTATTCTTTCAGGAAACAACCAAGTGCCTTTTTCCGCGTGACGCTTGGACGCAAACTTGCTCTACAGATCACTCTACGCGAAGCAGAGAAGACATGTGGACGTTTAGAATGTTTTACAATGAATGTTGTCATTCGTTAATTTTGTGTAAGTGTCTTATTACGTGAACTTCTAATTTGGAGATTTTTCGTCACGTCGCATCTGCATACCGTTTCTAGGGCAACAACTGAACGCTTTTCTTAAAAAAACAAAACAAACAAAAAAAATGGTCGACATCACTGCAAAGTTATTTTGGTACCGCACTAAGGAGTGGTACGAAATCATGGCCGACAAAGTAAACGACATTGTGTATACAGATGAAACGAAAGAGACTGTTAATGTGATTAATTTATTACTATTGGGATGGATATTGCTAGGTTTAATTGTTTACCTTCTAGGAAACTTTGTAGCGAATTATTTTAAAAAGCAAAAAAATATTTTATCTTCTCGCAATTCCGAAACTGCAGACGACGTTTCTAAACTTACGGAACATGTGCCGTCTGAATCTGAAGTTGAAACAGAAGTTGAAAATAATGTGCAAGAGCTAGAAAAACTTCAATTAAAGCGTCAGATTCCAACGTGTGAGGGAGATGATCCTGAAATAGTGGAATGGTTTAATAAATTGTTTTTATGGATTTATAATCAACGCATTGTTTCACCTATTTTAGATGCATGGATTTCTGCATTAAATGCACGGACGCGATTATCATCTACCGAGGTAAATTGATATGTTAATTTTTTACTTTTTAATAATATAAATAATTGGTTAAATTTACGAAAAAATTATATGTAATGTTGGCTAATAATAATTATTTAACATGAACTATTTCGATAAGGTTGCTTAAGTCATGTATTTTATTTATTAGTTTAGATGAAATATATTAAAAAATATTAATTTCCATTGTCATGATTACGTTAATCATATTAATTGACTGTCAAAATACTTCTTACAAATTTTTTACTGTTTGTATAACTACTACCATTAACTTGCACTATTTTTAAAATTTTTCAATAGTACTGATTATAACTTAATTGTTTATGTTGCTATTTAGTTTAGATCTTTTGTTTATCTAATCATTCATGATTTAGAAGGCTAATGATGAATGATTGAATGAACAAAGGATCTAAACTGCAACATATACAAATTAATTAAGCTATGTTTCTTCCTAATTAGATACCCTATAATTCTTTATAATTCTTGTAAAATGTATTCAAAAATATTAATTTCCATTGTAATGATTACTTTAAATGTATTATTTGACTGTCAAAATACTTCTTACAACTTTTTTACTATTTGTATGACTACTACCATTAACTTGCACTATTTTTAAATCATTTCAATAGTAAAGATTATAATTGAATTATATATGTTGCTATTTAGTTTAGATCTTTTGTTTATCTAATCATTCATATTTTAGTAGGCTAATGATGAATGATTGGAGGAAATCTAAACTGCAACATATACAAATTAATTATGCTGTATTTCTTCCTAATTAGATACCCTGTAATTCTTTAACACTTTTTGATACAAAGATATACTAAATGTTTTTTTCTAATTACTTGTTTTAAAAAAAAATATTGATTTATGTGTCGATTCACAATTGTCTTACACACTAAGAATTTTTGCAAGTCACTGAATAATGTTCAGAGAATGTACTTAAAAAATGTCATCATCATCATGAAATTATGTTGCATATTAATTTAACTGATTAACTTTTGAAGAAGTCCTTATAAGAAATGTGACTTGATTATAAACACACTAAAAGTGTTTGTATTATTTACCCATCTTATAGCTAAATTAAATTTCTTTACACATGACTTCAAATTTGAAAAATGTATTAAAATGAATTTATGTTTTTAAATGTGCTCTCTATTTTTTACAGTAATCTCTTGTACACACATTTAATTCAGAAAAAATGTTTGTTAATTATAGGTCATTTACTTGTTTCCATTTCAATGTAACAATAGTAATGACATGTCTTTAAATCTGAAGTATAATACATAAAGTGTCTTATCCACATAGATAAAAAAAAAATTGCAAAATCTAGGTCATTTACTTGTTTTCATTTCCTTTTCAAAGTAATATATTATGACATGTTTTTAAGTCTACACAGTAATATGTGTACATAGAGAGTGTCTAATTCACATACATAACAGTTATTGGGGAAAAAACGCAAATTTTACATCACTTTACTTGTTTAAATTTTACAGTAATGCAATAACATTGATTTGTATTATAAAATGTAATTAATTAAATGTAATGTAAATGTGACAAATTAATTCTTGTTTAGATTTTGTTTAATTCTCTTTGCATTTCCAAGGAAATATATTAGGAAATAATACATATTTTCCTTTATTGTTTTTCAACAAAAAACTTTTTTCTTCTATGATTTGAGCAAGGTTTTAGAGGAAAATTTTTCAGCAGGAGTGTTTTTATGCAGTCCATTATTTACAAACAAAATTTTTCTGTCAGCACTGAAAGTAAATGTTATTATAGAAACTTTTGTTTTTAATTGCATTTGGATTAAAATTCTTCTAAGTATAACTATATTATAGTAAGATTTTTCTTATTTTTTTTTTTAAATAACATAATAACATTTATTACGCCTACAAACACCATACTTATAAGCGTTTTTATTCCATTGAAATTTTAATGATATATATTTACGAAAATTCAGGAAAAAATATTTTTATTTATAATGTCATAAATTTTCAGAGGCCTTTCTCTTCTTGTTCTTGTATTATTTATTGAAAGATGTTTTTGAAGTCATGTTCTTATGTATAGTTCTAGTTTCCATATATTTGTTCTGAAAGGTGAACATTTGGGATGAAAAACTTTTAGGGAATAATATTGTTCTTGTTGGTCTATTAATAATGAGCATAATTGAAGTATATTTACTAATTTTAAAACAGCAAATTATTTTATCTCTTGCAATACATTAAAATATGAAGTTGGTAAAAGAGAATTAAAATAGAGTCAAACCCCCGCTATAGTGAACCTTCAAGGGACCGAAATTTTCGTTCACTATCTCCGGGACTTCACTATATGCGTTCTGCAAACAATTTTAATTTCCTAACTCTCCCCTTATATTACTCATTATTCAAATAAATGACCAATAAAATGAAATACAAAAATGACTGAAAAATAAAGCATAGTACCAAAAAATGTACTAACTTATATTTTTTATTGCTTCTCAACTTGCATAAAAAATAAATTAGTAGTAATCTTTAGCTGATGATGCTTTAGAAATCTTAAACTAGCAATCCTCAGCACCAGATATGGAAACAATTCCCGACTTTCCGATAATTTTTCCTGAATTTATGTTATTCTGCTTTTTTAGTCTGTCTAACCAACTATTCGAGCACATAAATGTAGTCTCATAAAGTCACTCAGCAAATTCATCGGCTTTGACTTGAAGCATTTGTCCAGATACTGGAAGATTGCGACTTCTTTGAATGCTGAATCAATTTAATAATGAAGCAAACAAGAAAATATGCTTGTTGCTACATTCCATGAAATAGATAATTTTAAAAATCTGTATATGTTTTTATTTCAAAGTAGAAATTTCAAAATTGTTACAAAAAAGTAAAGAAAATCAGCCCGAAAACAGAAAAAAGTACATTATATCCAACTTCCTCTCTTTCTTTTGGTTTACTATATCCACAAAAAATAACATTATGCGTGTGAAGCAAGGCACGGGAAAGATCATTTTGTTCACTATATCAGGGAGTTCACTATAAACCGTGTTCACTATCGCGGGGTTTGAATGTATTATAATTTCAAAGTTACATTCTTATCTACATTTAAGTTCTTAAAAAAATAATACTTTATATCCTAATTTATTGACTTATTCCATTTTTTAATTTATTTACTTATTCCTCATAATAAGACTAAAACATTTATTATCATTGAGATTTGATATCAGTGATATATTATCACAGCCTTAAGTATACACATATTACATAATGCTGTACTATTTTCTACATAAATCCATGATTTCAAAAAAAAAAATGTGATTTAAATCATTGACTTTTTAAGTAAATTGTTTTTAAATTAAGCCAACCCTGCTTGTTTATTTTTCTTGCCATGATCCGTGGCAGTTTTTTGGAATCGCCTTCGACACACACTCACAAAAGTGCATTAATTGAAATTTTTTATATAATTAATTTCGATGACATCAAAGCTGAATGCAAGTTATTATTTTAAAAACTACATTCCTGATATAAAGGAACATAACTGAAATGAAATTAGACTGATATAAAATAACTTGTGCCTATAATATATCCAAGATTCAGCATATGTAAGGAAACAAATTATAATAGTACTTGCAAATATGGATTCTTTAATTATAAAGCTATTGTTCTAGCTTTTTGAGCAACAAAATTGTCTATTAAAATAGAAATATCCAAAGAAGATAATAGATAATTCTCCATAGAAATGAGTGCCAAAGATGAAAGGCGGGCATTCGTCATCGTTGATTTCAAATACGTTTTTATCGTTTTAAGTTTTGAAGCTGCTGGTAGGAAAATTAATTGCCTTACCTGCAGTCTTTAATCTACATATCAGCAGGTTTGAAAATAATGTGTAGGTACATATTAAAAAAAATGTTGCTTTGAAAATTATAGAAATTTGAATATCTATTTAAAAAAAAATTTTAAATTTTATACTCTACTTTCAACTAAAAAAATATTTTCCTTGTCCAACTTTTTATAAAGTTATCTAAGAAATACAAAGGTCTACATGTATTCTTGCGAGTTGTATAAATTTGAACATAGATTAGTAGTTTGTACTATTTTCATTTTTTTTAATTCCTAATATTTAATATAAGTAAATAATAATAAAGGTGTAAGTAAATAATGGGAAATTTGTACAAATAATTTTAAATTTTATGTTCAATTTATAAATTGATGTATAATTTTATGTATAGAAAAGTGTTACTAATATCTAAAGAAGTTATTGGTATTTTTTTTTTACTATTTCATGTTAGTTTATTTGTTTTGTTTCTATTATTTAAAATCCCTTCTTACAGTTCTGAACAACAAAAAAGGATCCTTCACTAAAGTCTACATTAGTAACCAGGCTCAAATTAAATTAAACGAGATTAAAAAAAATTTGCGAATATAGCATCTCAATGAAAATACTTTTTGCTAGCAATCTTTTGATTCTTGCAATTATTTTCAACCTTTTTCATCGCCGCCTAATTTTGAAAAAATTTGTTTGAAAATTATTGAATTTTTTATAAGTGCTTAAGTTTTATAAAACTTTATATATTGAGTATTATGCATAGCAACTGGCAACATATATTTTTGTAAATTTAGCAGTTTTTTGATTACATATATAACTTGTCATTGACTTACTTGTCTTATACTTGTCTTTCTTTGTAATATCCAAAATCTAAGTCACTCAGAAATATTTCATTGATAACATTTGATAAATATTTCTATGAGAATCACTTCTCATGTAAATAATACAAAAATGTATAATTATTATTTTCTTTTACTTGTGTTCTTACAATTCTAAAAGTAATTATTATAAATATAATAATTTTATATAAATTATGGCGGAACAAAGGTTTTATTGACCTAGTTTATTGTGGGTGTGGGCCACTTCCTTAAACCAAAAAAAATCTTATTTTAATAGTTTGTAAAATTTTTTAAAGACCCTGTTTACAAAATTAGGAAATTCTGAACAATTTTATTTTAAAAAAAAGAAAAAAAACTAATTTAAACACTATATTTTTGGTGAGGGACTTCAGTTGAGCACTCAGCAGTCCCGTGCCCTGGGAAAACTATCCTTTTCCCTCTTAAAAGTTTGGCTTTGTTGCAAATTAATGAAACATATTTAGCTGCACCAGGAAAACAAAGAAGAATATGTTGTAATTTTCCCATTAACTTTCAATAGACAAATAAATTTGTAAATAAAAAATTTAAAGTTATAATGAATAATTAAATTTTTCTGACCTAGTTAATAGTAAAATTCATTGAAAATTTTCTATATTGCAGATTTCTTTTCATTTAAATAGTATTATAATTATTTTTTACTGCATATTATATTCCAGTTGGCACATTGCATTCTTTTATTAGTTGAGCATTCATTGTATATAAATATTTAAATTTATTCCTTTTGATTGAAGGTTAAATATATTTCAGTTATGAAAATTTTTTTCTTAACTAAGAAAACTTGTTTATTTTTATCTAAATCATTTTCATTATTTGACTGACAATTTGTGTATGAAGAATTTACTTTCAAATCAAAATTAATTTCAGATTTGATTTTAAAATTATTGTAGTCAGTTTATTTAAATTTGCTAACATGAGATTTTTGATTTTTTTTCATTTTAAAAGTACAGGTTCCTTTATTTTTTTTTGTATTTAAGACTTAATATATTGTTATGTAAATGTGGTTTTTGCGAAAGCATAACTTTTATTAATGTAGGTCCTTAAACTTAAACAAAAACAATTTTTAAAAAATTCTATATTGTTTTTTTCTTCTTCATATAATTCCAAATACAAGATCTTCCCAAGAAATCCTTGATTGACCCCTGACCTGAATCTGCTTTGCCAAAGCAAGAAGCTTTATAAATTATGAATCAATTATTTACTTTCTTGATATTTTATATAAAAAATTTTTTTTCATTTATTTATAATCATAAAACAATGAACAAATTTAAGTTTCTGCTGTGTAATATAATTTAACAAAAATATCAAAAAGTTAAGAAAAGAAATTTATTTGCTTTTGTCTTCTTAGTTTTTCAAATGATGATTATTATATAACTTAAAAAAAATAGTTAAGAAATCAATTCATGTTGCATTTAAATGTTTTCATGAAATGAATAATAAAAAATATAAATATCTTTATATCACTTCATATTGCTGAGTTACTGTTATTTTTATTATCTGAACTTTTCAGAAAAAAAAGTAAAATTCTTTAGTCAATGACCTTTTTTTTATTAATATTTCAACATAAAAATATTTTTGTAACAACAGTATATAAGCAAACATTTAACATTAGCAAACGAGTGTTTGATTGGAGAAATAAACTTAAAAAAGTACATATATTATTATTAAAAAATTTAAAAACGTATTTTTACTCATTTAAAATATTTAAAAAAAATTTTTAAATAAAAAATATTCTACTACATGCATGCAGACTGGACAAGTATCTCTTAATTTAGAATTATGCAGCTACATTTTGAACTTTATTTTTTGTCATTTTTTCGTAATTAATAAATTTTTATTTTTTTATAGCATGGAATTTTAGTGGACTTCAACGAAGTCATCCACACATCTTCAGCACCTAAAGTTACAAATGCCTTTCAATTTCAAAGCTCCAAAAATGAATGTCCTGTGAGTATTTTTATTTATATATTTATTTTTTCATATGCTGTTTATGTTCATGTGCTGATTGTATGGAAATTAAGGATCCACTGTCGTCGTGCGGTTGGTCTTGAAATTGTGGAGCCTTTATCTAGTACATGACTTTCTTGGCCCACAATGTGCTGTTGCAGGAATGCATTCCTTTTTGCTTATATTTTCACTACTTTTGCTAATTTTTTTTTTAAAAATAATTTTTTTTGTTTTAGTTTGATAAAACATAGTTTTATAAGTATCTTGTTTAAAATTAAGGTTATTGATCATCAGATTAAATTTGCAGTTTGGCCCCAGGACATGAACATGAAAAAACGTTTTTCACACACGTTTTATAGGCCACAGGACAAAATTTATTGTGGGATGCTTCCTCTAAGCCAGGGTTTCTTAACCTGTGGTTCATGAACCCCTGAGGGGTCCATGAGTTATATTTTGGGGGTCCGCTGACTACTCCTAATTTTTAAAACGTTTGGAAGACTACCCATTGCTTGTAAAGCGAGTTATGGCAGCTATAATTCCGTTTGCTACAGTGTATCTTTGCGAAACGGGATTTTCCACAATTGTGACAATAAAAACATAGCATCGAAATCTATTGAATGTTGAACATGATATGCCCGTTTGCTTTGTTGAAAACCATCCCTCAATTCAATTTGTTAAGTAAGGAAAAGCAGCAGCAACCTTCACATTAATAATTTTAATATTAAAAATTTTGTATACTATTAAAATAATAAAATTAAATGTTTTCTAATAATTGACGTTTTTTGCAATTATTTTTTTTCACAGGGGGGTGGTCCGTGACTTCTTAAAATTTTTGAAAGGGGTCCATTATATCAAAAAGGTTAAGTAACACTGCTCTAAGCTCATAAAGTCTTATTTTTATATTTTGTAGAATATTTGAAGACCCTTTATTCAAAATTAAAGGTTTTATATAGTTACAAAGGAATTCTCTACAAATTTCTTTTTTTAAATAAAAACTATTTAAAAGCAACATTTTTTGTAAGGAAATTTGTCCCCAACCCTGGAACAATTGATTTTATCTTCCCTTTTGCTGGCTTACAGGGAAAGTTTCACTTTATGATGTGTTTCTAAACATTTTTAATATATCATTTAATTCTTCATAAATATCTTTTCACAGTACCTTGTAGAATATTGAAGTTAATTTGTATTTATTGAACAAAGACTGTTTAAGGGTTTTGTTATGAGTTGTTAAAAAAGGCTTGTAAAAATTTTAATTATCTTTAAATTCAGTACACAATTTCTAATTCCTGTATGAATTATGTTGATAATTATAAAAGTAGTGTAACTCCATATTTATAATCTGTATCGTTTTTTTTTACTGTGTTACATTTATTCACATCTTTCAATATCAAAGTGAAGTAGCTTCATTAATACATATAAATCTCATAATAGGCAACATTTACTGAACGCTAGTATTTATTTTCTTACATTGAATTATCCAGTTTTCATTTTGTACTGTATTTTATACTTTTAAAAGTTATTCTATATATATCTATAAATGGAGTGATTTAAACAAAAAATTATTATGAATTTTAATTGTTAGTTGTTAAAAATATTGGTGTGTTAATAGTTTTTTTTTCATCTTTAAATTACAAAAAATTATTATTACATTTCCAGATTCTTACATGTGATACTGAAGTTGAAGATGTTGCGTTTGACATTATTGTTACACAGTTTAAAGAAAAGGAAAAAGTGTCTCAGCATTTCACTTTAGTTGTTAAGAGGCTAGCTGGAAAGGTAATTCAGTTTAAAAACTGCATTCTGCATTTATTATTATTACTCTTTTATTGAATTATGTTTTGTGGGGTAAAATATCTCTCTCTGTGTTTTGTTTCGGATTATTAAAATATTTTAGTTTAATTATCCATTTTTTAAATTTATTTTGAAAGTAAGAAAAATATTTCGATTGGCTAGCGCAAGTAAACTAAAAACGTTTATTTTTGTTTAAATTTATGTTTTCAGATATATTTAAGGAACGAATTCATTATTTTATAATGCTGCATTTTTTTAACCATTGTATCTTAAACAAATGATACATTTCTCTTTTTGTGAGAGTTAGATTTAAAGTTTGTATAAGTATAGTAGTCTCTGCTTATTGCTATTGTGGTTAATGTTATCAATTGCTTATTGTTATCAAAATCTGATTTTTTCTGTTCTGATTTTATTGTATTGTTATGTTTGTATTTGTTGTTTTTATCATTATTTTTTAATTTTAAAATAATTTCTGTTAGTTTTTTATGATGAAAAAAGAGATAAGTATCAAAATTTAAAAGTTTTTTTTTCTTTCTTGGAGACAACAATTTGACAAATCATCAAATAAAATACTGTCAATCTCACAAGCTCTCTGAGTTTGTAAGTTGTAACTACCGTTTTATTAGTGTTTAACTAAATTTTAAAGACAATTAAAATGTGTGAAATTATTTCATTACAGTTTAATTAGTTTTTAGCTAATTTTTAAAAATAATTGAAATGCGTAAAATTATTATATTATTAATACATATTTTAGGTAAGAACTAAATAATATTTATCTCCACAAAATCAAAAAATGGGACATCAAAATAATATTTAATGTATCTAAGGGTATTTTATGTTCTTTTCATTCATTGGAAACCTACTTCTTGGTTCTGAAACTAGTAAAACTGACACATTAAACATTCAGTTTAATGGGTCACTTTTGCGATTTCGCTTTGAACTATAATGTTATAAAGTAATTGAGGTTTATTTCTCTGTTTTAATAAATTCACAAATATACATCAATAAATTACCACTGAAATTTTCTAAAAAAAAATAGAGTTTGAAATGTGTATCAGGAAATTTTAGATTACATCTTACAAACATTGTACTATCTATTAAGTATCAAAATTTCTTGATTACCCTTGAAGAGAATTTTTATTTAAGAGTGAATAAGTTTTTTCAGAGAGCTTCAGGGAAAATTTATTTTAGATTTCAGAGCCAAAAACTACTTTTACTTTCGAAAATTTACTTTTATTTTTGTTCAGACTGATAATATATCAATTTTGGATAACGGTAGAAAATTGTTTTGAGGTTAATTATTTGCAACAAAAATTTTTTTGCATCTAAGGACAAATAAGAATATAATAAATGACCTTTCTGTAAATGTTACTTACGAAATTATGTTGTTAAAATTTTGTCTGAGAAATTCTTTCAAAATTCTGGAATATTGTCTGTTATATCTCTCTCCCTCTTATTTGGTAATACCTTGTACATACTTTATTTGTTTTGAAAGATACTACTGAACATTAATTATAAAAATTACACAAATTTGATTAAAAGCACTGTGATAAATTCATTTAACTTTTTCGTCAACAAATGCCATATATTATAATTTTTTTCCTTCTGTGTAGCATAGTATTTTAATAAAACATTTTAACAATTGTCTTTCTTTAGGCTTACATTGAATGCATGCCAGAAGATGTATCATTTGCTGCTAAATATTCTGAAGTTCCTCAAGTTCAATTGTCCGTTGGATTTGCAACCAGTGGAAACAGTGCAGCTCAAATGGTAAGGCCTTTGAATTTAAAAAGTAAAACTGAGTAAAAATTGGCAGAGTTTATGTTATTTAAAATTTGAAAGAAGAAAGCAAAATAGTTGAGTGCAGTTTTTAAACAAGATAATATGTAGTTAACAGCAACCAACTTTCAATAAAAATTCATTATGTACTATAAATTAGTGAAACTGCTTTATTTTTTGTCTATGTAATAAAAGTTTATTTGCTTTTATGAAACTTTCTTTTGATTTTGTGTACTAACTTAAACAGAATTTACTTAATAGTTGTTAGTGTTTTTTTTTCTCTTGTAATTCATGATGAGAATTTACAATTTAACTTTACACACATTTTTTTCAACATTCAAAATTTTTATATCACTTGATTTTAAGTTCAAGAGTGTGATCTTCCCATGCCTCTTTTTCTCTTGAATTGCTTTTATATTCCTTTTATAATTGTTCAAGATTTTATGCATAGTATATTAGCACCTTCAAAATAATAATAATAATAAAAAAATAATATATGTTTACTTCTGTAGCTTAGGTGCAAGATATGAATTTCAATTATTATTTTTGCAGAAGATAATTATATATTGCTCTGATATTTCAATGTTTAATAATTTTTTTTTCTAAATTAATTATTTAATTAATTGTTCTTATATTTTCATTTGTAATTAAGAAAAGAATTCAAATGTTTCCATTTTTCTAATTTTTTTTTGCACATTATGAACTTAGCATAACTACAGGCTTGTGACCTGTTTTCTGATTGATTCAAAGATACCAACAATTCCCTAGCTGTAATAAAGTTCTTACATGGCGCTTTTAAACTTCTTGTTCTGGCACTTGAAAATTCTCATAAAAACATCATATCATGTTAAGAAAGTTTTCTGTAACGACACTTGCCACAAATTAATTACCCGATTTTAGAGATTTCCAGCCTCTGACTTTTGAGAAAATAAAAAAAAACATCTCAAAAAGAGACCATCTTGAAGAGTTTAACTCATAGTCACCCATGGGCAAACCACAATATATTTAAAAAAAAAAAAAAATTTGCAAGTTAAAAGTTGAAGCTTGGCAAAGGTAATTGGTCCAAGTAGATACTGATATTGAAATATTTGCTTATTTTGGGATAATTAACTAATTGAGCTCCAAGGCTCAAAAGGGCCTTCCAGAAAAGACCAACTGGGATAATGTTGATGTCTGGATTTCTCGCTTGAAGCAATGTATCAAGCACTCGCTTCCCAATGAAGCAACCTATGTTCGAATCCCAACAGCTGCTGTTTAATTTGATTGCTGCTCTCATAGACACAATGCTGGTGTAAAGCATCCCCAATGGTTGATGAATCTTAGGTCAGGCCAACCCTTTGAGGCTTTCATGTTTTTCCTTTCCATGAAACTCAAATGTTGGTTTATTCTATCAAAAAGTCCTTCATGAAGGCTAGTTTGCCTATATGCTTCATTAGTGAGTTAACTCTCTTGTTTGCTGTGTTAAGTTCATATTACAAGGCTACAGAGTTGAATGTTGATATTCCCAAATATAAAAATGTGCCACTTATAGAGTCACCTTCAGATGTGTTGCACCAATCAGATAAGTTAAGTATTTTTACATCCATCCAGTGACATAACTTCATGGACCAATCGTGCAAGTAATCTAAAACTTTAATTGAAGAACAGTTCATATATCATGAATAAAAAAATTTCAATCAATTTTCCAAACTATAGGTATAAGTTAAGATTTATTTAACTATTATATACAGGGTATCCGCGCACCTGGAAAGTCATGAAACGTCATGGAATGTCATGCATTTCGGTATTGGACAAAATTTGTCATATTTGTCTATTTTTTTAAAAAAAATCATGGAAAGTCATGGATTAAAATCTACGAAAAATCTAATTTTCAAAATGGATTTTACCCCTCCCCCAATTGTTCGAATGTCTGAATGTGTATCAAAATCCCCACTCACAGTCATGTTTTATTAAAATATAAAATGTTTTTATCATGTTCCTTAAAAATTATGGTGTTCTTTTTGAAAATGAAAGAAAAGGCATAATTTCGAGAGTGAATTATCTTTTAAACTTCTGTGATTTCAGAATTTTTATTATTATTTTTATTTTATCATTTTAAAATTTTAGCTGAACAAGCCAGTCATTGACGAAATTTTTTATTCCGAAATGAGAACAAAAAATCAGGAGTATTTCTTTCCTTTCCGATGAACAGGAAAAGTATCTTTAGAATGTAATTCTGTAGAAAAAAAAGAAAAAAAATTGTTTTCCTTTTTTTCCAGCTATTTTATTGCTTCAACTCTTTCTTTACTCTGTTTTTTAAATTTAAAATCTATAAATATGATAATGCAGAGTATAACAGTTTTGGTTATACCTATCATTTCAGTGAATGTTATTATAATGCTTTTTTAAATTTATTGTTGTGTTTTTGTCAGAGAAAATAGTAACTTTGTTAAGTCATAAAAATTTCTTAGAATTAGTCATGGAAAGTCATGAATTTGAAAATCTAAAATGTAGCAGATACCCTGTATATATCAAATAATAAATGTATATTTTATAATTATCTTTCCTTTCCAGATTGATTCAGGAGACATACAACCATTAAGTGATTTAGTATGTGAAATTTGCCATGAAGCGTTTGCATCTGCGTTAATTAACTTTCGATTAGCTTGTTTTCCTGATTGTCCCAGACTTTCACCAAAATTTTATGCTGGAGATGAAGAGGTATTTGTACTTTATTTTATAGAAATTTTACACGTTTTAAGAAACACTTTACTGTAAAATATATATAGAGAGCAAAAAAAAAGAAAGAAAATCGAAAACATTATCCATATGTCCATATCATATTTTCCATTCAATTCTTTTTATTGATTCTATCTCACTACAAATTTTATAATTAAATTGTGTAAGTTTGAAATGCGAAGTTTAATTTTTTTTCTCTTTTGCCATTACTTTCATTAATAATCGCATTTTATATCCTGTAAAATATAAAAATATTATTTTATTTATTTATTTTTTTCTTCCCTATTATGAAATGGGGGAAATTTCTGCATTATATATCGCTTGTATAGTTGGCAATAAAAGAATTTAATTATTCAAATTTTTAAATCTAAAATTGTTAAATGGTTACTTTTTTCATATTTTAGATTACATCTACTCAAGTTAGTGATGACAAACAACTCTTAGTTAAAATTATCAAAGCTTCTAATCTGGGAGGAAGCCAAGGTGATTGATTTTTTTTATTTTAAATTAAATTTTTTCTTTAAATTTATTTTTGCACTGATCTATGAATATATTGTAATACCAGTTATTGATTTTATTTGTTATTCTATTATGACTAATGAGGCTAAGAAGTTTTTTTTATTTTTTATTTACACTAGCTTGTTTCTTTGGTATGTGAATTTGATTATAAATAAAATTTATTTGAGCTAGTTTATTATAGATTATTTTGTTTTATTTGATTGTTATAAACTTTTAAGAAAAATATCATGTTTTAATTGTTTAAATACTGTTGAAAATATTATTTTAGGAAATCTTTATTAGCATTTCATACTAGGATTGCCGAAATCTGAAATTTTAACTTTAATTAATGACTGACTCATGCTTGTTGATTGGCACTGCTTTGATCTTGTGTCAAATATTGCAACCCTATTAAATTTCAAGTACACTTGTATTACTGTCATTTTTTAACACCACAAAACATGCATTTCATAATTTAAAAAAAAAAAAAGAAAGAGCAGATCTATATTAAATATTATTCTCCAGGCAACAGTTTTATTATCAGTCTGCTGCAAATTTTATAAAAATACAGTAATATAATCACTCGAAACTAATATTTTACAACACTGAACATGTTTTTTTACATCTCTGCTTCAAGTTTTATAAAAGATATAGCAATATATACACACAACACTATTATTTAATGACACTAAGCAGGTATATCATTTATAATATGTAATAAGAAAAATATATAAACTTATTCTTGGCAATCACACTTAAACTTTAAATAAACACGAATACAAATTTTGATCATAACTGTTTTCCCACCATTTTATCATTAATGAACAACATTGTCAACTTGTTTTTCAATTTCCATGTGCTTGTCTATTTTTCAGATGTTAAATTTTGTGAAATTAGTTTTTGATTTTTTTCAATATTATTAACCATTCTCATCCCATAAATATTAATATTAGTTTATTTTTATGTAGGTTGCCTTAAACCATATTGTGTTGTTGAAATGGATGAACCTCCTCAAAGGTTTGAGACACATTGTGTAGAAGAAAAACACAATCCTTTTTGGGATGAGTCCTACACATTGTAATTATATAAATTTAATTGTTGAATTTTACACATTCACATACTGTTTTTGAACCATAGTAAAATCTATATATTTTTCCAGCACTGTTAAAGATATATCAGCAGAACTGTTATTTGAAATTTATGATAAAGAAAAACCGTCCACTGGTAAGTTTTAATGTCTTCAAACTTTACTTTTCATATAAAATTACTATTCATTGCCTATTTTAAAAGTACAATTATTCTGGCTTTAAAGAAAATTATTAAAAAATTTATTCAATTTTTTTTAGTTTGGTATTATTTATGTGCATATTAGATTATTGATGTTTTTATTAAATAATCTATCATAGTTTTTGAAGTATGTGAAAAAAAAGATTAGATAAATAAATAATCCAACAATCAGTTATTCAATTTACTTTTTACATGTAGAACGAAAGACACAAACTCTTATTTTTAAATTGGTGTTTGGAAATTTGAAATTAATAGATTGTAGAGTCAGTATGTGTATGTTGTATAAAATATTACAAAATTCTATTTGAATTATTTAAAGATAAATAAAGATTTTTTTTAATCAAGTTAAGATGATAATCAACAAGAACATATTGTATGAAACATTTAAAATTTGCATTTATTATTAAGTGTGATATTATATTCTTTCATAGGAAGCTTCTCAAGACTTTTAGATAATGTAAGATTTACATTTTAAGGAAGGAAAATCAGCATTTTAAGTGTTTCTTTTTTATAAGAAAATAAGTTCTAGCATTTTATTTCAGAAAATTTCCTCGGGTTGGGGATTGTCAGCATCGAAGAACTGTTACGAAATCCTAGTCAGCGCCAGATGATTCCTCTTCAATCTCGACCACTTGAAGATGATGATGTCACTGGCACTCTGACAGCAGAGGTGATGTGTTATTTCTCAATTTATTTATGTCAATGAGATACACTTGGGGGTGTTCAGATTTTTTTTATGACTGATAAGTTTAATATTTTATTACAATAATTAATAGATATTGGTAATAAATTAAATGTTATTTAATGTCAATTTATTTTACGTAATTATGTGTTTTGTGATAGGTATTATTAACATTATTAAATGTTAATCTTTTCCTTTTTTTTCTTTTATTTATTATTATTTTTTCTCTTGTATTGAATTAGCTTATTTCTGTGCCAGAAGTTATTCATCTTATTGATCCAAAAACTTAAGAAACAATAATTAATGATTCACTTAGTTTGTTTTTTGTGAAAAAAATTAGTTTTTAATGCATAATTGTGTTAAATTTTTAATATATATGTATAAAACTTTTTAAGTAATTTATCTTATTTAATTTTTTGAATAGTTTAGTTTCTAATTTAGTATTAATTTGGTTTCGGATATTTGTTTTTATTTTTTTATATTTTCTTTTGTTTTTCATTTTTATTCCGTTCAAAATTTTGAAGATAATGATACTTAATTCACTTAATTGATCATTTGTGAAATCTAGAAACTTTTGAAAAATCATTTTATAAGGACTTTTAAGTTAATTTATATTAGTTAATTTCTTCTTCATCAATCTGTACTGGACTTTGTGATTTATTTTATCTTTTTTTATGTATTATCCTAGTTTTTAAGATAATTTTAACATAAATCTAATTGTATTTTAACTATTTGTTTTTTTATCTTTCCTTTTGCTTCTATTTTTTAATTAATTGGCAACTTATCATAGGTTATCTATTTGTTTGAACTAAAAATTCAAAAAATTATCAACTGAGTAGATGAAAAGATATTGATTCTAATTGATCATTTATTAAGTTAATAAATTTTTTAAACTAATTTTATTAAAAGTTTTAATTTATAATTTCATTATTTAAATTCTACTCATTGCTTTATATGAGACCTAGCAAATATTTTATCTTATTTTCCTTTTTCCTATCTTTTAGATGATTCTTTATTTAAAGCTATTAGTTTTCTGAATATTTTTGTATCTTTCCTTTAGTTCTTGTTTTTGAATCAACTTACTCCTGTATCAGAAGCTACCCATTTGTCTCAGGTGAATGCAAGAAGTGATCAGTTAAGCGAAACAGGCAAAAGTGTAGAGACTAACTGTCGAGTTACAGCCGGGGGCACAGTTATTACCACAACAACTATTAAAAGGACTAATGAAGGCATGTTTGACCCATACTTAGACTAATTTTCTTTTACATATTTTATTTTTCAAATTGTTTCCTTTATTACTTTTGAGTAAGGATGAAAGTTATATCCTACCTTTTGATCATTTTTGTCTGTGATAAGTTTGAGGGAAGTTTTATGAATTTAATATATTTTCTCAAAATTATCAAAACTTGAAGGGCAACTAAAATTGTTGCCTAAACGTATCCTTAACTGTTTTAATGATTACTCTCATCTCATAATTTTTAGTGTATCATTTAGAAAAACAACTATATTTTCAGATTTATGATTACTTATACTGATTTAGTTATCCTTTTATAACTACTTGTTACTCCTTTTGTGGTTTCATGTTTTTTTTTCTGTATTTCTTTGAATTTAAAAAGTATGTTACGGAATATAATATTTTAATGTTTAAATACTGGGAACTATCCATATACATATCTCTGTATGTCGCTGTTGTAATACATGCTGTTGTAATAATCTGTCTACATAATTAGTTAAAAAATTGAAAAGAATTAAAAATTGAATTGAATTTAAAATGATGTCTTGTTAATCAAAGGGGTAGGACAATTACAAAAAAAAAATGTTCCTTGATTAAATCCTAAGTTATGTTTCTCCTCTTCCATATTTAAAACTCATGCTATACTAGGAAGAATGAGTTGAAAATATTTGAGTTGATTTGAGAAACATTCTTTTCGATTGTTCGAAAATATTTAATATTATTATCTTATTTTTAGGGATGCTTATTCAATTTTAAGAAGTATAATCTTCATTTCTTTAGTTTTGAATTATTCAAAGTTACATAAAAGTTAGAAATATATAATTTTAGATTCCTCTTTGATCGACCTACAAGGAGGTAAAATTGATATGAACTGTGGTTAATATTAAAAATAGGAATTTTCAATTTTGTGAATATATATAATTAGCTCCTTACATAATGAAATTCGTTTTTTTTTCTCCAGTTAATTAAGTCAAAGCCCTTTCAAGTTAATTTCTTATACAGAGTACCTTAAAAGCTATAAAACTGATTTTTTAAAAATATCTTTTGGCTTGTTTATTATTCCTTCTGTTCTATCTTTTGCTCAATAAAATAAATCTGATGTGTAAATTATTTATGAATAAATGTGTTTATTGTTTGCACTGCTGTTTTTGCTTTGTTAAATTATAATTTTTTTCTCTTTTTTAAATAAAAGAAAGCAATATATTGCAATAGTTTTTTAAACTGTAAAAACTTTTAACTGTCCATTCATTTTAAAAATAAGTATAAAACTGTGGTATTTTGGACAATTCTTTAGTTTGCTTCATAAGTCTTGGATTTTGTTTTTGAGTGTTCTGTTCTGATTATTATTTCAATTACATTTTTGCTATACACAAATAGAAGTGCGAAATTTTCGAAGTTGTCAATGCAAAAACATAGATGATTAATTAAATTTATGTGATCATTTTCCAATTATTTATCGAAATTTAAATAGTAATCTTAACTTGATATCTTCAAAAAAAGAATCATATTTCTCGATAGCTAAATGGAGCTTTACACTAATTTTTCAAAATCTAATTTTTTCTCTTGCAAACTCTAAATTGAATTATCTTTTTTTTAACAATAATTTTAGAATTGTAATTAATTTATTTAGAAAATATTTCATAATTTAACAATTTTTTGGGAATAATTAACTTTTTGTTTTAAAATCTGCCTTAATTTGTTTTCTTCATAGTTAGAATTTTTTTTTTTGTATTTTGGGTTATAATATAATCCTGTAGTTTTAGTTGTAATATTCTGCATGGCCTGGATTCTTTTTACTTAATTTATAATGCATGTGATATTGATCTTTTCTTGGTTTTATTTATAATGCATGTAATATTGATCTATTCTTGCGTTTCTTTGATATGCTGTTTATATTTATTTTTACTCTTTTAAGTTACAGTTTTCTCCTTTTATTTGCTCTTTTACTTATATTGCTAATATTTCAGAAATTGTCCAATCTCCAGAAGCTACTTCTAATCTGCACGCTAATTCTATGCAAAGCGCGGAGCATAATGTAACAAACACCCCAGATGCCAAAGAGACACTTTTTGAAAAGAAAAACATCGCTTATGAGTTAAACTCACAAGTCTCAAACGGTGGCTGCAAAATATCTAATGGTGATATTTTTGTCAATAATATTTCTGATGAAAACAATTCTGAATTTGCAGTCTTAAATAAAAATCTAACACATGATAATAAAGAACTTGTTGAGGTCGCTGCTTTGGAAGAACCGGAAATTGTTGAATTTAAAATTGAAACTATCGGTGATGACAAAATTTCTGTAGAAAGTAAGGGGGAACTTCACCCCAATGGACTATCCCCAAGTGCATCCCCTTCCCCGCATGTGCATGAGGTCCCTGTTATTATTCCCAAGCCCCCCATAATTATTGTTGATAATTTGGGTGAAACTCAACCTCAAAAAGATGAATTGTTAAATGGAAGTCCTAATGCTGACTCATTAGAACTTAGTGCATTGCATGATAACACTTTAAGTGTAGAAAATAACAATAATGATTCAAAAGAGACCGAAGAAAATGGCATTGGTTTTAGTTCTGAACTGCCACCCATCTCAGAAATCATAGTGAATAATTCCACCCCATCTGGTGGTTTAGAAATTGATGGTGAGCACACATTATTATTTTTGAAAATGAAGTACTTTTTATATATATATAAAGAATTATAATGTATGGACATTTTTTGTTTGCTCCTTTATTACTTAAATTGTAATTTATCATTTTTATTCTAGCTAAATTCTTTTTTACAATGATTTTTTTTCATTTACATGTTTTTTTGCAGATGGTGTATCAATTGAAAGTAAGTTTAATATAAAGCTAATTATCTTAAATTTTTTTGTTCGGTTACTACCTTCTAATCTTAGGTCAGGTTTCTTGTTTGCAATTTTGAGATCCATATGCCATTTGTTATAGATTCTTGACCACATTACAGGACGCAAAAATAAAGGTGGTCTGATATTTCAAAAATTTCACTCAAACTACCATAAACAATTATTATTGTAGACCCCCCAGGTCAGCAATATCGATGCAATAGCATGGTATACTGTTTTAGTTTTTTGATTTTTCGGTTTCATATTCTGATCATGAAATAGCTTATTTCATCATAATAGAGACAGACAAACAAGCCAGTGAAAATGTGTATGAACTAATAACTTTTAATTGCTGGTCCTTCAGACCAGTGACTAAATTTTCTTAATTTTTACTCCTGCATTAAAAATCACTGTCTACTCTCTCTCTCTCTTTTTTAAAAAAAAAATTATGCCCAGGGAAATTTCCCCATAATTCACGGCGGGGGAGAGATCTTCCCCCACAAGTGGTACAAGTTTATTTGATTCTTAATGAGGTCAAAAACATATAAGGCAAATGGCATGTACATACCTACGAAGTTTTATGCATTTTGCGTAAAATTTTTATTTAAAGTGGTAGTAAAATGTATACTTTCTATGTATTCCTTGCATTTATAAACTTCATTTAAAAAGATTTTGACCATCATTATTTTTAAAAAAATTTAGCATATATACTAATATGTGATACTGTCGTGGTTGTCTGCTTAAGCTTTATCAAAATGCAGCATATGTTTCTGCCTAAAATTGTAATTTAATTTCCATTTCACCACCACTGGGAAAAATCATCTTCAAAATATTAGATGTTGGCCGGTATGCATGTATGTCTCAAAATGTCAAACTTAGAAGAAGAGTCTATTCTTGGCTTTAGTTATTTCCCAAAAAAGCCTTAATGGGTGATTGTGAAAATCTTTATGAAAAAACAATGGGCATGAATTAAAGCTAACGTACAATAAGCAAATCTGGAATATAGAATTGTATGAGCAGTAATGCTCCCAAAGCTAAATTCTGATTAAAATGGAAAGATCTAGATGGATTTTTTGAAACTTTCTTAAACTTTATGAAAAGTATGGTGTAAAAAATCCAGAAGGTAGTAATTCATAAATCTTGTTATTTAATAATATATTATGAATTAAAAAAAAGAGTAAAAAAAACATCCCCTAGATATATATTAGAATAGTGTTTGACAAACTGTGATTCACGGGCCGCCCCTGAAGTGTCTAGATCGGCTTATATTTGAATTAAGTGCTGCTGAGCCATGTTTAAGTATTTGTTGACAATAGCACAAACTTTTTTTTAAGTTCATTTTTTTAAAATAAATTTTGATTTTGAGTTGTAATTTAGCAAATTAGTTTAATGAGTAATTAATAGTTTAATGAGAAGGTATGTGTTAATTTAGGAAATGATAAGCAACTAATTTATTCATAAAAGCGATTTCAATTTCCATAGCAGCAATAAACAAAAAGTGTCCACTCACAAATGCTTAGTTGTTATTTTGTGAATGATTTACTCTTTTAGTTGCCATTTTAATTAATTGTTTTACTATGCTATTAAATTTTATTATGTGTCACTTTAAGGTTTTTCTGTTTTGTTTTATATTTAAAGCATTGTTTTAAGTAAAACTTTATACTATTTAAATGTGATAATTTATAAAAGTCTTTTTACATAACTTGTGAGATATTCAGTAGCAGACTAATAAATAAATGCATGACAGAAATATTTTTTTTTAATGTGCAGTATGAATATGATTCCATGTATAAAAGACCTCATTGTAAAAAGCTATTTTTATTATTTTCAATTGATTAAAATTTCACCTAATAAGAGACACTTCAACTATATTTAATGACATCCTATTTATATTTTCTTGAAATGACATTATTTCTAAACACGCCATCTCTTTTGTGTGGCATATTCATCTAAAATACATAGGCTAATTTATTTCATTAAAGACTATTCTCTCTATTTTATTTATTATTTGTTATTTAGGTTAATTTTCTAATGCTGTTATGTTTAACATTGCGTAATCAATAAACTAAATTTTTGCAAGTTTTTGGTTAATACATAAGCAGGGAAAAAAATCCCTGCATGCAAGCTATGAAAGTCCTAAGGTTTAATATTTGATAAAATTCTGGGATTTGCGTTTATCAAAACATTATATTTTTTAAAGTTGCTTAATATTACTTTTATTGCTATTATAAAATTTTAATATCGACTGAAAAATATAACTTTGTTCTTCATTAAAAATGCATGTACGTGGTAATAAAGAGAAAATGCATTCTCTCTTATGACGCTTATGTCCTATGCAGTATTCATTCTTCAAATATCTTGGGATCAAAAACATTATGATTTCATTTGTTTACTTAAAATACTTTCACTTCAAAGGACAATGCTAGTTCATTCTTCATTTGAATATTATTTGCTAGTTTTTTTTTTATGTTGAGCTATTTTATTTAATACTTATATTCTATATTCTACTAAAATTAATTTCAAACTTAATCTAACTATGAGGGCTTTTGGTGTAAGTTTTGGTTGTTGAATGCTTTCTGTATTTTTAGTATCATTTCTGATTTTTTAAAAATGATAATTAAATAATTTTGTTTAAAAATTGTTTGAAGCTTCTTTGTGTAAAATACAAGTTAAATAAAAATGAAATGTTTTTAAATCATAATTTTGTGTGTACAGTTAATTTATATTAAAACAAATTAAATATTTAATTGAACTTTTTTAAAGAAATGTGTCCTTTTCATGCTTTGAGACATGGAATATACAGCATAACCTACTTATAATGATCCTGTGTTTTAAGAAATTTCGGATTTAACAAACAAAATGGAATATTTTGTTTGGCGCAATGTTGTTAATAAATGGGATTGTATTTACATCATTCTCAATTTGTACTTACACCATCCTTACTTCATTCTATTCACTGCTATAGTGAATAATTTGTTCACTTTTTTCAAATATAATGAGTAAAATAATTTTAGTAGTATGGAATGGCATCAGAAATAATTGAAAACAATAAAAAAAAATCTCATTGTAAAATTGATCATTTTTCAACGTTATCGACAACAGGATTAATCTGAGAATGGAGGAATGCCACCTAGACTATATTATTATTTAACAGAGCATGTAAATCACACTTATATTTGTTCTAATGTTTTTTATTTATTTATTTTTTGTATATTTTCGATGCAGAAGTTATTTATTTCTTAATGTAAGAATAATATGTTTAATAAATAATATGGTTAGTATATGTCTTTAGCAAACTGCACCAGGCAAAAATCTATATTTATACTTTAAAATCACTTAAAATCAGTATAAAATTTTAAATTTTACAGCAATTTCCCGTGATTTTGGTGATTTTTACTTAATAAAATAATTTTCTATTTTAAAACAATTTTTTTTTCACTCTGGACAAGCTTGTTAAGAAATTTCTCCTCAATGCACAAAATTCTTATTATACAATAAGAAAATAAAATTATTTACAAAAAAATTTTAGGTGTCACAAACACTTAGTCAGTTAGCATTTTATTTGTTATCTAGGCATTCACAAACAAGATATAATATCAGGTTTTATTGTTTATCAAAGCTGGTTCGACAATTTCAAGTCAACCTTTACAACAATATAAATTATCATTTTATGTATTAAAAAATCAAAACACTATTCAGTACTTAGATCATTAAACAAAATATTAACTTCTGTAAAAAAATTTCCATTTCATTCAATGTAACATTTTCTTTTCTATTAAAGATTTTTATGTATGTTGTTCATTATTATAGATGGTGATGCAGATTTAGCTGATACAGCTTTGAAAGAAATTGAAAAACTTAGCAAGCCTAATTCTACTAGCAAGAGCACCTTAATTATTCATAGTGTTCAAAGAGTAAGTGGATAACTTAGATAAGTCGTCAAAAAAATGTTCTTTTTATCTATATTGTTATTACTAATATGAGTGATGTATCTTCATTTATTTGTAATACACTGCTATTTTTTTGCTTCATAAAGGAAAATTTACTACCTAATGTAAAGGTATGTTTATAATACTGAAATTCTGAGCACTGTCCTTTCTGTCTCTTCTCTGTTCTACTTAGACTTTGATTTTCAGTTGAAAAAAGTACTCTTTTATCAGGATTAATTTGCATGATCTTTCTAGTTTACATATATTTACCTAAGTTTATAACTTTCAGTTTGTTTTGCATGGTTTTACTTTCTTTTGCATTTTAATAATAAAACAATTTTCAACTCTGCATGCAATTTAAAAATTAATTACTAAATCGCCTAGTTGAACATTTTTAATATCGCAATTTGTATTTATCTATTTCTGAGCAAAAGAAGCAGTTTATTTACCATGTTATTCAATCATTATTAATATATAATTATTATTTTTATTGCTTTTTTTAATCTCTACTTTTGTTTATTAGCTATATAACTAAGCTTTAATGCTATATTTTTTTTCTTTTCTCCTAAAATTTTTTTTAAATCACATTAAATGCTCAAGGTTGCTTGTACGGAACTCATTTATGCGTAATCATACGTATAATGCAATGCCTTTAACTTACAAACTTGAAACAATAACTTTTTTTTATGGTAATTTCTCTTTTTAGAGGCGTTAAATAACATAAATTAAACAATTTGTTTTTCTTTTAAAAATATTTTTGTTGCTTGTCTACAATAATTTCTACAATAATACAATTTTAATTCACTAGTATAAAAGACATGTTAACTCTATTCAATCTGGAGGTACCTTTTGATAGATGACAGGTTGGATTGTCCAAGGGGGGTATCGACTTTCGGGCGTGATTGACCACGCCTATCTTGTCAGAAATGCCCACTTTGATGGATGGTCCACATTGAACAGCTGATTTGCTATTTGCGACTATGATATTGTCCTCTTCAGGTTGTTGCTTTTTAGTCTCGATCACACGAAAAAAGTCTATCCATGCACGATTGCTAATAGAAACAGTAGAGTGACTACACACACAACTGTGATCTTAACCTAGCTCTCCCAGCTTCTCACAAAAACAGCAATGAATCAACTAAGTGGTATGGTATCCCTTCAACAAAATCTATCGCAGATAAAATTCTAGTGGGGGAGTACTGTAGTGTGTCTACCACTATAATACCAACTCTCAAGGATATAAGGCATGCTAACTCGATTCTATCTGAGGTACCTTTTGATAGTTGACATTATCGGTAGCCTCACCCTACAATTTTTAAGTTTATTTATTAATTTATTTTTGTCTTCCTTGGTTGTCACATTAATTTGGCATGTTGCACTTTTGGCACATTTATATCCACTTCAGTCAATGTTAAATGTTTTTCTTTTTTTTTTAGAAAATTAGCAAATTTAGCTCATTGTTTGGACTGACTCTTTTATTTAAAATTTTTGCTTGTACATTTTTTTAACCGTTGCTTGGTCTGCTTGGTGGGTACTAATACAAATAATAAATCATACATGAAACAAAACTTGAATTTTTCATGAACAGGTTGCTCAGGACAAATCTGGGGAGTGGCAAGAATATAGAGAGGTATTATTATAGATAATTTTATTCATGCATGCTATAGCTTTCAGAAATGATTTTCTTACTACTCTGCCATGTTATATTTGTGATTTTCACATTTTAGGTAATTTCTTCACAGAGTCAATTTAGGAAAAAATATTAGGTCCACTTAAGAACATTTCTCTTAACTCAATCCTTCTCAAAAATAGAAGCTTTTTAATAAAAACCCTTCACTAAATTCTGAACTACAGCTCTCTATATTTCAAAGTTGAAGCAACGCTAGAAAAATGTTAAGATAGCGAGTGTTCGAGATAACAAGTTCAGAACTAAATATGTTCTGAAAAGTTAAAAAAAGAAAAAAAAAGATGGATTATTGTATTTTGCTTGCAATTTCACAAGTCAAAAATTAATTTCATACGCTGGTGCATTTTTGTGTAAATCAATGCACTGGTTTCTTTTCCAAAATAAAAACAATCCTTAGTAAAAATGTTTTAAGAGCAAATTTGATCATTCAGCTCAACATTTATTAAGTTATGATGTTTATCTACTTACTAAAACAAAGTAGAGTGTCCATCTATGTGCCAAAATGTTTTTCAACCTGCCTTTGGTTCAAAGAAGAAGTTTTGACTTTTTGTTCACATTATTTTGCGTTATTCTGATATAGCATAAAGTGTACTTCAATTTTATTTGGATAACTTAAATAACTCTACCATTAATAGGTTTAAGAATTTTGTCAGCTAAGAAAATAATTCTAGATTAATAGAAAGTAGGGAAGTTGAAATAATTGCTTAAAATTTTATACTTTTACTGTTTTTTTTGGCATAAATTCATGGAATGTTTTTTTTTCTTTCCCACATCAATATTCTAATTTTTTTTCTTCATATTTCCTGGCATCTATTTACATGTCAAGTGAAAATAGACAGAAAATATTCTAATTTTTTTCTTCATATTTCCTGGCATCTATTTACATGTCACGTGAAAATAGACAGAAAACAATCTGATGGCTCCTCTAGCTTGTAAAATGACTTCAAATTTACAATATTTGTAAAGTTGAAAATCTAGTGCTGTTGCAGTAAAAAAAATAGCTACGGTGTATCCATCCTCTTGCACCTGCATCTTTTCATAATCCTTAAGTTGATTGCCTCTGGATAGTAGAATCAAACGTAAAAAAAAAAAAAAAAAATCGTTTTCATTTCTATTGTTATGACCCACTTCAGATTTTAGGCTTTCTGTAAATGGAGAGAAAGAAGTTTATAATTGATTCCTTTTTAGCAGTTAGTATAGTCATTTTGCTTTATATAATTTTAAATGTGTAAAATCAATGATGAAAATCTATTCCACTGAAAATGAATTTATTTTTATATTTTTAGTTTCTAAGCACTGTAACTTATTTTCATTACAGCCAAATAACCATGTCTCTGATAGCCTTGAAGCTTCACCAGCTAGTCAAATTTCAAAAGATTCTCGCACTTCTTATTCAGAAAGTGTGCCTTCATCTCCTACCCCTGATCGAACTCCCAGTAAGTTTGGATTGACTGACAAGATTCACTCATCAAAACACTGATATTGTTTTGCCTTTGTTAAGACTCTTTTTTTTTTCAAGAGAGATCAACTTGAGAAATTCACTTCTGGGTGAAACTCGATATATTAGTTGTAAACCTTTAACCCTAGATTCATAAAAGTTCATCTCAAAAGGCTGCCTCCAAAATTGGTAAGCACATGTAACTCTCAAAGTGAAAGAGAGAAATCAGGCAGTGGCATACAAGAAAATAAAAATAAACGCTTCAGGAAGAGGTCACTTGAAGGGTGTAACTCATTGCTATCCACCGCAAATTTCAACATGTTTTTTTTTCTTGTTAAGTTTTTGTTAGTAAAGAAAACTTTTGATGATGGTAGTAGCATGAACAGGCCCTGATACGGAAATTACGCAAATGCCTCCTGAAGGAGATGGAACAATGAACTTCTAAGTACCTTCTAAATCATTATACAAATGTTTAAGAATACTGTAGTGTCTTCCAAGCATGTTTGTAAATCTAGGGTTAAGGTGCTAATTTTGCAGTGGCCAGCCATGTCTTTAAAGTTTTTAGGAAAGTCTTTTAAAGTTTTGTGCACAATTTATATACTAGTTAATTTTAACATAGGTGTATGGCACAACAGCCTAGTTAGTGGTATAATGTGCTAGATAGTGGTATTGCTCTCCGAAACTCAGGGTTAGGATGGTATTCTAAAGCAAGACCTATCTTTATCATATTGGAACTTTAAATGAATACAATTGATGTATTTATTTAAAGTTCCAATATGAATTATAGTTTCAAGTAGATTGAAATTTTTGCTCAAAATGAATACAGAGTATAAGTTTGTTATTTCAAAATGCGAACATGCAAAATCCCTGGCATATATCAGGTGTATTTGAAACACAAATTTAATGAAAATTTACTCTAGGTTGTTACAAAACACTAAGAATATAATTCTACTGTTCTGTTTCTTGTGTTCGAGTAAACTTTTAAAATTTTTCCTTAACAAATCGGGAAGTTAGATCAATTAATTACTATATATATCATTATTTAGGTAATATTTAAAATATGAGAAACTATTATTTTTTGTTTGAAATATTTTTATGTTCTTGTTACTTGTTGTAGTTTTCTTTTTTACGCTTTATTAATTAATTCATATTTAAAATGAAAGGATTCCAAGTCAAGTTATTAAATTATACTTTATTTATTTGGTGTTTAGAGGTTAATTAAAACTTGTTTCATAATACAATTTAAGTATTTAATTGGTTCTTATTCAATGGCTGTCTCATAGAAAAAAAATTTTAAGTAAAATTTTTAAAGATTAACTTAAATTAGTAACCTTTTTTTAAATAATTAATATTTCTTTCTTCATATAAATACATCAGTATCAGTAGATCTGTAAAGAAATTAGTTTTCAAATGCAAACATTTGTGGGGATTTTTTCAATAATTAATTTGAAACGTAGTTATTTACTTTTATTATTAATCAATTAGAACATCAATAATTTTCTTTAATAATTACTTTAGATGATTAAAATTCTAAATGCTATAAACAATAACTTTAATGTTTCTCTGATATTAGCATCAATATATATATGTAAGAAATAAAAAAAGAAAAACTTAGTATCTTTGTCATTCAGTATTACCATCTATTACTTCAAATAATCTGATTACTTTTATCTTTCGAATATCTATTCTAAACTTTTGGTTTTATTATTTATATTTATTTGTTTTCATATTCTTTTTTTAAAAAAGAAAAAAACATGTGCATGTTTTGATTTTTCTTTGCCTGTCATTTGTTTTCTGAAATTCTTTGCATGTTAAGAATGCACTTAAGTTTTTTTCTTCCATCTAACTCAAAAAAAGTTTTATTGAGTAAGAGTTTGTATTTAATTAATTAAATATGTTTGCCCGTTAAAATATCTATTTTGTTGATTGAAAATTCTAGAGGAAAAAAATATATGTACTTAAATTTCGGATTATTATGTCTACTACCTTGGATCATTTTCAGCGTTTCATTATATTGAGTATCATTTTTTGCTATTTTCACTTGTTGAAAAATATTGAGAGGTTGATTCTAAGGTTTTATTTTGTTTACAATTGCTGCTTTTTTAAAAAAGAATTTTTTACTTTAAATATATTTTGCATTCATCTTCAAGTGTAAGTGTTATGTTAAAAAATAGGTGTGGTGCACCAATCTCTTCAAAAAGATTATTGGTCAAACCATGTCACAGGATCATGATATTCCCATCTGCAACATTGTTTACAAAATATTTTTTCTGTTCTTATAATTTATTTCCTGTTTCAAATTTTTGTAAAAATTATTTTTATAATTTAATATGTATTCACAAAATTTATTACCATATTTTAATTACAAACAGTTTTTAAAATGTTTTTATGTAAAAGTGACGGTTGAGGATAAATTATATACCTAAGTGTACTTTTTTGTGAAAAAAAAATGAATGATGTTAATACTATTGTATACATACCATATTATATACAGACATAATAATACCATTATATAAATACCATTCTTTAGTTATCATTCAAATCCTGCTTTATAAAAAAGTTTAAAGCTACAAAAGGAATCAATCAGTGGGATATATGGATTTTACATTTTTGATAGATTTCCTAAATAAATGCTAGTAATGTATTCTGTTCTCAAGATGCTCCGATTTAAACAAATTTAATAACTAAAGAGCAGATGAGTGATGAGTTTGAAATTTTAAACAGTGACTCAACACTTCATAATTTTATAAGAGAATAATTAGGTTGTCATTAAATAGATAAAATAAGTTTTATAAAAAAGAGGCTAAAAAAAATAACAGTTATTCTAACAAAGGGTATGCACAATACACCTTATCAAAGGTCAATAATAACCAACACCTTAAGATCAAATTTCTGAGTTGACTAGCAAATTGTTCTTATGCTTAGGTTGACTGATTTGAAAGTAAACAGTATGTTCATATAGAAATTAAAAGAATTGTCAAATACCTGGTGCTTGTACTTGTTTCTTTTTATTTCTATTATGTTTCTGAATTGAAAATGAGTTGTACAATTTTTCCATTACATTATTATTAGTTTTTTAAATATTTTATAACTATGCACTTATGTTAATTGGACTGTATTTATTAGACAAAGAAATTTTCATTATTTAAAAAAATGCTAGTAATCTGATTTTATTGTTTTTACTTCTACTATTACAGGACGAGTGCATTTATTTTATTTGTATGGGATCCATTTTTTTACTTTTGTACAGGATTCAATATTATTTGCAGTGCAAAAACTCTTAGAATTCTAAACCCAATTACCGTCCCTCATTTTTTCTGTTTGATGAATTTGTTTATTTTACTAGTATTGGACCAGTGAATTCAATTTGTTTTACTGGGGAAATTGCCTGTTTTAACTCTTTGCAGGGCAGAAAAGTTTGAACAAAAATTTGAACCGGAAGAGCAGACAGAATTGTGGCCCTATGCCTGTTCTAATTAATGCAATATTCTTTATATTTTTAAAAATTTAAAGTTGTTGATTGAAAATTGAATAGTTTAAGAAATAAAAACTATTACAATTTTAGTGGTCCATATAATTGTCAAAAATGATTGAGACAGATGAAAAATGAATGATCCGATGCCTCCTGAAAATATTTAAGTTATAGTTGTGTGTTGCAACTTTTATTTTCTTCATTCAATGATGAATCTAGTATATTTTAGCTACAAATTATTTATTTTTAAAAAGTCCAATTTCTGAAGAACAAAATATTTGAAATGATCTTCTTTTAAACATATCTATACCATAGATTTTTCTTTTAATAAATAATACGTGTGTAGCGTTTTTAAAAAGTGCTTAAAGGTGCTTATGTTCGATATTCGTTGTTTAAAAGCCCTTAAAGGTGCTTTTTTCATTGGAGGTTTTTAAAAAGTGCTTCATATTCCCTTTTTGAAAATGAGATTTTTCTCTTTACCATGTTGATTTTCGCCACGTATTATGAAAAAGCGTGATTTTCACATTGTTCTATTCAACGTTTTCACAATGCATTCAACCACAGTCCATTTTGGCGTACCGTCGGTCCATAGCGTATGCAAACGCCGATAATTTTATGTACTTGATGAAATATTTGCGAGTCTGCATGTGCGTTTATTGGGTTCAGTGAGATTCTACCACTCTCATATGCAACTATTCTGCATTTTATGAGAAATTCTGAAATTCAGGCTTCATTTTCCACCCTCTGAAATCGAACCGAAGAATCTTTAGATCTTTTTATGTTGGTTAATATAATCAAGGAAAGAGTTCTTTGTCAGAAACCTTTGAAAATTATTTTGCATTTCGTTAGCGTTTTGCATTTTGTTGTACATTTTTGGAGATCTTAAAAAGTTCTTGAAAGGTGCTTATTGTTGAAAGATTTGACTATGCACCCTGTAATATCAATAGATAAATAAACTCTGTAATAAAATTCAAAAATGCTTTTTAAATTCTTAGGGTGTATTGTTGCTAGCTTATATGTTTAGGTAATTTTGCTTATAATATTATTACTTTTTTAATTAGTTATAAAATACTTGTTTAAAAGAAAGGTTTTTTATGTATATGTCTAAGATATTTTTTAAAAAAAGTTTTTTCTTCTATAATTTATTTTCATTTGATGTCTTCTAGATGGAAGGTCTAGGCCCACAGAAAAAAAATCTTTTATGGGAACCTTGCGTCGAAAACTTAGCTTTCACAAAGCAAGATCTAAGTCTGTTGAAAACCGATCAGAAGCTCCTTCTACTTACAGCCAAGCAAGCAGTCGTAGTGCTTCTACAGATAGGGTGAGGCACCTATCCAATCAAAAGTCACCATTTAAAGAAAGACTGTTAGGTAAGGGAATTGTTTATTTTTCTGCAGTTAATATTATTTCAAAAAATTTCTTTAAGGTAAGGGCATACAAATGTTAAATTAAAAACTGTAGCTTTAAAAAATAATGTTGCCTATTGTTCAATCTGCAAGACAGTAATATTAAATTTCAAAACAGTTCAACAAACTCTTTCAAAAATCTGTGAGTTCTATATGTTTATATATTATGTACTATTAAGTAGAGCCAATAAATAACAAGTCATAGTCTGTTTTATACAATATATTTAATAAGACTATAAAATATAGTCTACAGTTTAAGCATTTGTCCTCTATTTGCATTCACATAATTGTAAAAAAAACTTTGTTTGTGTTCCAACCGATTACATACTCAAACCTTAGTTTTAATGTTCGTTTGAAAATGACGTCTGTGCAATTCTTTTTGGTATTCATCAAATATGTGAAAGTCTAATGGGGGCAGATATAGACTATAGAGTGGGCGGCTCAAAAGTTACAATTCAAATTTTTGCAAAACTTCTGTTATAAATATGGCTTTGTGTTATTCAAAAATCCAATTAACTAAATTGAAACATAAGAAAAATCAAATTAAACAGTTCTCGTAAATTCAATGTCATCCGAAATGTTATATTTTATTTGAAAATCATGTCCCTGAAATTTTTGTCTTGTTAAACTTGTGGTTGAATAATTAGAATTTATTATATTTTTTTTCACAAAATTTTAATTTTTACCTTTTGTGTATGTTTAATGTAGTTTAAATATGTTTTAAATACTAAGACAATATTTTAAATGAGAATTGCACATTTTCTATGTTAATACTAGAATTCTCATTTTGATAATCCTACCAGACTTTTATTTTTTTATGAAACTTTTTTGTTTCTGTTAAACTTGCGGGAAATGTTCTCATAATGAAAATAACTTATAGTGCAAGTACTGTTAAATGCATGTTGTTGTTTTTTGTATTCAAGTTGAAATTTAACAATGGACAATGATTTTTTGTGGATTTTTAAATTTAGATACAATTTTAAGCCCAAAATTTTACAATAGCAAAATTATTTTTGTATATATGGGAAAAAATACATAAAAATTTATCAGTCATAAATGATTTTTTATTTCTAGTGACAATTTTTGAAAATATCATCTTACTTTACCATATTTTTGTGTTAATTTTTTAGTAAAATGTTTAATTTTCACAAATTATGTCTAAATTTTCACAAAATAGGTACCTCTCATAAAAACCTAGACAGACCCCTGATAATGCATTGTCACTTTTTATAATTGTAGGATAAGACTTTAAGAAAAATGTTTTAGTTTTAATATTAGTTTATGAAATTAAATAGATATGTTTTTCGTTATATTGCTTTTCCATCCAGGATTAACAAGTAAGGTGTTAAGATGTTACTAAACATACTTTGTTTTCTCTTATTTTATGTACTTTAATTTTATATGAAATCCAGAAAATATTTGACATGGCTTTAAATGCATCTGTATTTTATGTCTGATATAAATTTAAATTAAATATAACTGATGCTACTGTTTTGTTTTTCTAAACAAAAATTTGCACTGGACTTGATAAAAGTAAGCATTGTCTTAATAGTTATAATATTAATTTTACTACAAAGCTGATGATTTACAAAAATATTAAAAATTTTCTGTTTTTATTTTCAGGTCAATTTTTGAATGTTCCAGGTTAGAATTATATTTTTAATCAAGTAATTTATTTAACTGTCAATTGTATGATAATTAACATCTTCAATTTTCTTTGCAGGCAGTACTCGTAGTAGTATAAGTGAAGCCTCAGGTGTTAGTGGTCTATCAACAAGGACATATATTAATGAAAATTCAACCCTAGTTATTGAAACAAATGAAAACGGAATCATCAAGTAAGTTTTGAAACAATGGAGTATTCGCCTTTTATCATTTGTAATTACTGTTGAATTTGCTTAACAAGAACAAAAGGACAATTAGAGGGAATTTCTGGTTACCCTAATTTACTTTTCAATATTTGTTTATTTTATTTTGTAAAAAATTAAACAAATATTTCTGTTATTGCCACTTATCAACTATAACTAGTTAAGTCATGAAACTAAGAAGATTTAGTATTTAAACAGTTAATGGCTGTGCCACAAATTCTGCAGTGTTTTCTTTTTTATTATGCAGTAATTAAGTAATTTAAATCTGGTAGTTTTTCAAACTGGTTACATAAAAGTGACATATAGTTTTCTTAATGCACGATTACAAGAGAGTGATCCTAATTTAATTTTCTATATGTTTATCTCATTATGCAAACAAGAAATATTTTCACAATTGCTGATTAACACAAATTAATTAAATTTTCTAAATTATTTAAAATAAAAATATTTAATACTTGAAAATTCATTCATTATGTCAAAAATTATATTGTGTGTTCTTTTTCATTAAAAAGTAATTAGGTAATTTAATTCAGGAAGTTTTCAAAAATAGTTACATACAAGTGGCAAATAGTTACAAAACTTTTTACTGCTAAAATTTTCATACTGCTAAAACTTTCATATTGCTTTCGTATTGCTAAAATTTTCATATAAAAATACCTCCCTATGTACATCATATAAACTATTTTTATATAATATCTGCTCATAAACATGATGCACATAAAATATTTCTTTTTTTTTTTTTTTTTTTTTTTTTTTTTTTTTTTTTTTTTTTTTTTNTTTTTTTTTTTTTTTTTTCAGGCGCTACCTAATACCCAATTCTCTAATACATAGAAGTAAGTGGAAGAAAAAAGGTACAAAGCTGCACATTTACAATGACCATGTATTTATTGCAAAGCATTTGCCAGGGTAAATATTTTATTATTATTATTTTGTTCTTCATGAGATAACAATTTTTTATTACAATTTTGTCCATTAAGTGTAATTTTGATCTTTATCTTATCGCAATTCATTAAGAAGTGTAAAATTGAAAGAAAAAAAAATAGAGAGAAGAGAAACAATTTTTTTAATTAAAATCATATTTTTTCCTTATTTGTATTATTAATGATAACCCTTAACAATTTTTGAATATTATTAAATCTTTATTTATGTTATTTCTGTAGCATAAATGCATTTAATTAGGAAAATCAAGCAACTTAAACTAGTTGTTGATGACCAAGTTCATTTTCTGTTTTTATCTCTCTTTTTTTTCTATCTTTAAAGTGATTTCTTTAAAGATAAAATTAAATATATATAAGAATTATATTTCCTAATTTGTAACATAACTCAAAAAAATATTTTTACTAAATAAATAGCATTAGTCAATGACCTTATACTAACTAATGAAAGGGGGAGGGGGAAGTAGTTATGCAGATGCATTCTGAAAGTAAATACGGTGCAGATCCATAATATAAAATAGGCTATTTTTCAATTGCATATTTTTGTGCCATTATCTACTAATAAAGTTTTTTTATAGCATTTTTTTGTTTTATTTATTTATGAAGAATATAAAAACTGATTTCTTATTTTAAATAAATATCTGTATAAGTAAATGTGAATGCTTGTGTGTATGTATGTATTCTAAACAAATCTGAATTCTGAAGCGATCTGCACCAATTTTGATGATAATAACGTTCAAAAGGGTGACAAACCTAAATGTCTACTTTGAACTCTTTCCGATCACCAGTTTGCACACTACATGTCAAAGAGTTTTCCATAGAATTTGATAAATATTCTATAATATGAGTGATTTGCTAGCTTGTAGCTCTAGTCAATCATACATTAGTCTTATTGCACCTTTTTATGAATTATTTATCTTTGGTTTTCTATGTTAGGTTATCACAAGTAAAGCCAACGTTAGTAGTTTTACCTCGTATGGAGATGATGTCACCAAAATCGTATTTTAAAAGTTATATCAGACTGCATGTTTCTTTTATAGATATTTTCACTTTTCAAGCGTAAATCTATAAGCTTAATTATTGAAACTCAACGAAAAGTAATGAGATAAACTAAGCTATTTATAAAGCCATTGAAAAATTGTGATTAATTCTGAATATTACATAAATTATATTATTTGTATAGTTAATCTTTCTTTAGGTAAGTTGAAATTCTTACTAATATTATGGAAAATCTAATGGTATAAAGCTGCATTGGAACAAACAAGAAAAATGTAAAAGTTGTGTATTAGGAGCCATTAAGGGAAGTATGGGGATATTAGAAACCTTGTCCATTTCAGAAGATGGAAAAAAAGAATTTTTTTTACCACAGTATCAATATTATTAGGCACCTATATTGCACCTATATTAATTAGGCTTCACAGTTGTCAATAATAGTATGGTGATTTTTTATACTACAGTTTTACAAAATAGAAATTTACTAAACAAAATAATTAAAAAATGTATTATATTATTAATTAATTATTTAAAATATAAAATAAAAATTTACAAATAGTTCACCAATTTTTTTCATGAAATAAATTCTAATATTAGTTTGTTCACCAAAAATGATTGAAACAATTTTAGTTTTGTTTCTAATTATTTTTGAAAATGGATTTTGGTAATTGGTATAAAATTGAAATAAAAAAGCTTTATATTAAAAGACTGGAGGATAAAATGTACTTAATTTTTCAAATGAGAACCCTAAAAGTTGCAATATTCTTTTTGACGTTAATGATGTTTTATTACTCCTGGATATATATACAAATAAATTAAAAATATATATTTAAATAAACGTTGTTCTAAAAAAATTAAATTAAAAGAAAAAGGTGGGCAATTCCGTGAAAAGGGGGAAAAGCATTTGAAAATTCAAATAAGAATAATGTTATTATTTTTAATGTTTTCTGAATTAGAAAGGTTTGAAGTTTGATAATTTATAATAATTCTTTTTGAGAATTTAGTTTTTTAGTGTTGGCAACCCATTGAACATTGGCATTTGCTTGTTCTGATTTGGGTGAAGAATATCGTCTGACTTTGAAAATCAGTAAGTTAATATTATCTTCTTTTCAAAATGTTCCAAACGATAAATATTGTTTATTAAACTTAATAGAAATATTGAGCTGTGTTAAAATAAGTTTTTGTTGTGAAATTCATTTAATTATATAAATTTTAATTAAACATTAATGCCTGTAACGTAAGTTACCAAAAACAAGAAAAAGTTTTTTTGTGTAAAAAAGAACAAATGACACAAAAGTAAGAATAATATTTTTTCTTTCTTAGAGGCTAACACTAAATAAGCAGCAATAGTTTTCTTTTAAAATATTACTTATTTATTGTTTTGTGCACTATTTAAAATGTGTAACGTAAGTTACTATTGTACTGCATGTAATGTAAGTTACCAATGTTAAATGAATCTATTTCTTGAAAATTGGCATATAAACTAAATAAGATGTATCCAGTTACAATACCAAAATTTAAATAAGTAAACACTGCCTTAAGATATTAATTTTAATGAAAATATTTGTCTTATTATTTTTATTATATTTTTATTTGTGATATTATTTGAATGAAAATATTTAATTGGGTGCTGTCATTCATATGTTTTGAAAATTGGTTCTAATGGGACTTTCGCTGGTTTATAGATAGATAAAAAATGCCACTGACTGCTGCAGAGAAGATGAAACGACGAAGGGAGAAGTTGAAGGAGGAAGGGATATATGAAGATTATAAGGAAAGGATGAGAGATGCGGTTAGAAAATCCAGAGAAAAGAAGAATAAGGAAATGAAAAAGCTTCCTTTATCAGAACAAAAAATACTAGAAATGGAAAAAAGGGAAAAATGCAAGGAAAGAGTAGCAAAATTCAGAGAAAAAATGAAGAAGAAGAAAATTCTATCTGTTACATGCACACCAGATTCACCCAAACCATATGCAACTATGAATAGTTTCGGAAAAGCTACACGTAAAGTGAATCGCGCCCTACCAAAGTCTCCACGGAAACGAAAGATGGTAGTGAAAAAACTGTATGACACATTTGTAGCTCAAGAAGACGAAGCAAATATTACCTCTGCAGAAAATGAAAGCAGACATTCCTCATCACTAACTTTAGAAACAATAGAGAAAGTGCAAAAATTCTATGAATGTGACGAAATCTCTCGACAAGCACCAGGACTTAAGGATGTTGTCATAATTAGAGATGCTAATGGTGGCAAAAAGAAAGTACAAGCACGGCATCTTCTTTATTCAATTCGAGAAATGCACCAAATGTTTATAGAAGAAAATCCAGAACACAAAATTGGAAAAACTAAATTCTTTGAGCTCCGTCCAAAGCATGTCTTGCTTAGTAGCAAACTTCCAAGAAATATTTGTCTTTGTAAATATCACGAAAACTTCGGATTGGCTACTGAAGCCTTCAGCAAATTCCATAATGTTCCATCTTTCGCTAGAAATTTATTTTTATGTTCAGATAAAACAGATGAGTGTTGGTCTGGAGAATGTGAAACTTGTTCTCATCAACTTGAAGGTTCACTAAACAAAATAACCCAAAAAGAAAACCTAAATGGTTTGAATTGGTATGTATGGAAGAAAGATGATGCTGGTCAATTGAAAAAAATGTTAGAAGAAGGAAGTTCAGAAGATTTGTCTGAACACATAAAAAACATGAAGCCACAGTTTCGAAACCATGTTAAAACCAAGCGTGAACAAGCACTTGCTTACAAAAGGCAAGTCCAAGCGGCGACATTACCATCATTCGATAAGGACACTGCAATCATTCAAGTAGATTTCGCTGAAAATTATGCATGTGAATACCAAGACGAGGTGCAAAGTGCACACTGGATGAAGAAGCAAGTCAGCATTTTCACCATATCAGCATGGTACTCCGGAAAGCATCATTCAATGGCTTTCATAAGTGATAATTTAAATCACACTAAAGAAACGGTAGTGCCATATATAGATTGCATTTTGGAAAATTTGCCGGCGGATATCAAAAATGTTCACATCTGGTCAGATGGGCCAAGCAGCCAGTTCAAGAATCGATATATAGCTTCAGTCTTACCTGTTCTTGAGATTCATCATGAGAAAAAATTGACGTGGAATTATTTTGCCACGTCACACGGCAAAGGTCCTGTTGATGGGACAGGTGGATCTATTAAAAGGAGTGTGAGAAATGTCGTACTGAAAAGAAAACGCATTGTCACCAATGCCTCTGAGTTCGTGGCAGCAACACAAGAGCATTCAACAAAAATAAATGTGTTAGAAATCACACCGGAAAATATTAAGAAGCGTCAGAAAAAATTACGTCTGTCTTATTTATTCTCAAAAGCTTCACAGATTAAAAACATCAAGCAGATCCACCACTTAAGAGTACAAGAAGGCAAACCAGAAGGGTTTTCTTTAGTGAAAGATGTTGAAAAACGAAATACGTTATAAGTTAGCATTGTAATGTGTGATCAAGTCCGTAAATCAAAAATTTCTGAATTTATTTTATGTATACTTTTTCTCCCTTGCACTATACTCTTTAAATATCTTGATTTACATTTGTATATTATTGGAATAAAAGTTTGATTCAAAGTGAATTTTGTAACGTAAGTTACTGTAACGTAAGTTACCCATTTAAAAAATTATATTTAATTTAACTTTTGAAATAAAATCTTAAATATAGGTGTAAGAAATATTTAAATATATCAGGAAAATGATACATAAAATCTTATTAATCTAATATTTGTATAAGAACAGAATTTTGCCCTCAAGCATATTGAAAATTTATACCATTCCTTTTTCGGTAACGTAAGTTACCACACTAATTTTAGGTTTTTACACCATTTAAATTGCAAAATATAAATTTTTTTAATTAGGTTCCTTTTGGTTTTGATTGAAATTTTAAGAAATTCCTCTATTTTTATATGTGTTTTAGTATTATTTGCTTGTTTCTATTTTATCAGTACAATAAAGTTTATGTGAATGTAACGTAAGTTACCGTGGAACAGCCCAGGTACTTATCCATCTAGATTTGCTTTATTATTATTATTAATGTCAATGATGCTTAATTAATTTTAGTAATAGGCTCTACTGCTATTATGTTAATTGGTGTTTTTAATAGGTACTAAATATACTAATATTGGTATCAAGATACCAGGGGTCGCATTCCCCCTAAAATTCATAAAATTCCTAAAACTATGTGCAAACCCTAAAATTCCTAAAAATCTGATAAAATTTTGTTGGTGTTCCTGAAAAATTAGTTATAGGCTAAATATAAATAAAAAAGCAATAATCTAAAATATAGGAATTTAACTACATTAATTAAAACTGTTTTAATTTTGCCACATGGGAATTCTGATCCTGAGAGAGGTTTTTCGATAAATAAAGCAATGCGTGAGTCACCATGAGAATACTATTATGTCTCTTAGACTAATCAAAGATACCATTCGAAATTATGGAGGAGTGTTGAAGATCACCACAACACTATTGAGGACAGTAAAAGAATCTCACAAATCATATCAAGAATATATTAGAAAAATGATCATGATTAATTTGTTTTTCTCTAACTTCTAATATAAATTGCTGATTTGAAATCTGAAATCTAATAATATCACACAATAGTTTTTCTTAATAAAGTAAGGTAAAGGGTAATAATAAAGTTTTGATTAAGAAGGTAAAAATTAAATAAAAATCCAAGTTGGTGTTAATTTATTTTTTCTCTTCATTTATTCTGACTTTTGCCTGTTCCTGAATTATGCACTTAATTTCTGATAGGTATTATGTAAAGTTGAAATTTCATTTTTACACTTAAGAGATTTCATTCTTGACTTAATAAATTTCAGAGCTTTATTTTATGACTTACAATTATTTATGACTAGCCGCCAAAGGCGCCCAGCTGTCCGCCCAGCTAAAGGTTTTCACAAATAAAATTTTTTAAAACATAGCCGGAAATCTGAAGATTAGTGGACAATTAAAGTGTTCCTGTCCAGCAATTTTGTCTTCATATCCAGTTCTGCTGCAGATGTGTTATAGCTCTTGAGGATGTTTGAAATTATATAGCTACAACGCTTAAGAAAAAAAAANTCAAACAATTCAAATGGCAAGTATTGGACCATCCGCCATACAGCCCGGACCTTGCGCCCAGCGACTTCCATTTATTCCTTTACCTGAAGTCACATCTTGGTGGAAAATCATTCCACGACGATGATGAGATCAAAGATGAAGTTGAAATGTGGTTCCGACAACAGGCGACAACCTTCTATGACTGTGGGATACAAAAGCTTGTGCACCGACTTAATAAATGTTTGGATAACGGGGGTGATTATGTCGAAAAATAATAAATAATCGAGTTAATAAGATGTAACTGACGTTTTCTAATAAATGTTTTTTTTTTTTAAGGAATGCGATCCATTGTATCTTTACTTTTCGAAACGCCCTCGTAGTATGGTGATTTTTTATACTACAGTTTTACAAAATAGAAATTTACTAAACAAAATAATTAAAAAATGTATTATATTATTAATTAATTATTTAAAATATAAAATAAAAATTTACAAATAGTTCACCAATTTTTTTCATGAAATAAATTCTAATATTAGTTTGTTCACCAAAAATGATTGAAACAATTTTTAGTTTTATTTTTAATTATTTTTGAAAATGGATTTTGGTAATTGGTATAAAATTAGAAATAAAAAAGCTTTATATTAAAAGACTGGAGGATAAAATGTATTTAATTTTTAAATGAGAACCCTAAAAGTTGCAATATTCTTATTGACGTTAATGATGCTTTATTACTCCTGAATATAGATACAAATAAAATAAAAATATATATTTAAATAAACGTTGTTCTATTAAATTAAATTAAAAGAAAAAGGTACTTATTCATCTAGATTTGCTTTATTATTATTATTAATGTCAATGATGCTTAATTAATTTTAGTAAAAGGCTTTACTGCTATTATGTTAATTGGTGTTTTTAATAGGTTCTAAATATACTAATATTGGTATCAAGATACCTACTTTAGGTACAGTGAAAATGGGTCATTACATCCCATTGGAACGGATAAGTAATAGAGAAAATTATTGGTTATGCTAATTCTTGATTATCAGGAGTTAACCTCATGCAATAACATTATGTCAAATGATACTGAATATAGTTGATCTTTATTTTGATGGGTTGAACTTCTTAAAATATGTTTTGCTTAATCTGATAACATAAATCCACAAGGAAAAAAGAATTGTTTTTGCTTAATTCTTTGTGTCGGTATATGTCTTTTATTTTTGTGCTAAATTTCTCTCAAATTTAAAAGTCTTTTAGTTTTAAAAAGTAATTTTCACATGCTTTATAGTTTAACTACAAAGTACAGTGAATAATTTTACTTGTAGAATTAATTTTTAAAGTTCTTCTGATTCTGAAATACGTTGCATAGCATTTTTATATTTTTTAATTGTAGAATAGCAGTAAAAGAAATTGTGGTCATGGTATTAACCAATGAAAATAAGTTTTCATCCAATGCTGTTATATGATCCTGTTTATTTATTTTTTAAGAACCTGGTCTGTAAAATAGAATAATTGTTTTTCTTTCTTACAGTGTAACAGTCTGTCAAGTTTGTCAGAAAAGCTTAACTAGGCGGCCTGGTAAACAAGGTTACGAATGCAGAGGTATTGTGTAATTTTTTGAGTCTATATACTTTTCATTTTATGTTTGCAGTCTAACAGTACTGTTTCCTTTAATAGGCTGTAACCTGCAATGTCATAAAAGCTGTCATGTTAAAGTTGAAGAATTCTGTTCAAACAGCTCTGTTAATTCCATGGAAGTGTGAGTATTAGTTTTGTTTATTTATTTATTTATTTTTTTGCGATGATTATCATAATATTTAAATTTTTTTGTGAAATTAAATATATTTAGAATTTTGGTTTATTTTGTATTGCTAAAATAATTTTTGGTTACGAGTCATTCGACTTTTACTTCAGCACTTAAATGTAGTCCAGCAATATTCATTTGCCCTTCACAACTTAAATACTCTCTTCCCCTCGTCTTCTTCCTTATTGGCAAAATTAAGTTCCTGTCCTTGCAAAGAAAAACTTTTAATGATGAATTTTGTATTTACAAGTACAATATAAATTTAAAAATTTTAATGCTCTTGAACCAAAAGTAGCTCTTAAACCTGTTTTAGACTTTATATCTTAAAATTATTTTGAAAATGAACTTTTTTAAACGATTAAATACATTTGAGTTAGATTTTGAATCATTAATAAACTTCTTAAAAAGAAAAAAAAATTTCCTTTTCACAAATTTCATTTTTTTTTTCTGTAGTTAAGTTCATTCTTCATGTTTTATGTAACATCAATCCAATCTGATATTTCTCCTATTGCATATATTGGTTAGAGTTATGCATGCTACATTTTACTTTGTGACAAGATTGCTTTTTTTAAAATGTTGCTCCTTGTGTAAATTCTAAAAAAAAATCATTTCAATCTTGTAATATACAAAATATTTATTGCAAATTCTCATAACTTTTTGTTTCATTTTTATTTTATCTTCATGTTTAAAATATTCATTTCTATAGTTGACTTATTTATTCCATATTAAAAAAACAATTTGCATAAAATTTTTTTTATGTATATAATAATTTTCCAATTGAGATGTATTTGAAACTAAAATTACCATAACCACTCAAAAGACTCATTATTATATTGTATTGTAAAGTGTAAGTTTAGTATTAATGTCAATGTGTGCAATGAAAAAGGTATTGGCTGTAACAACTGTATGAAATACCTTAAATATATTAAAAATAATAAATATTAATGAATAGATTTTATGACATGTTTTGTTAACTTTATTCATTTCTTAAATTTTAGTGAATATGTTCATGATCCGAAAACAGCCTCACCCAAATCTATTTAAGGATTTATTTGACTCTTGGACCGATTGGTAGATTCTTTATTTAGTAACTTGCCTCTATAGGAATGCTGCAAACTAAAAGCTTTTAATGTCTTTCATGTACGAATTGTTCAAAAAATGGGCAATTATTGATTGAATTTTTAAGATTGTATCTTTTATATTTATTAGTAAAAGGTTGCCAGAAATCATAGATTCAATAGGGAAAATAAAACATTTCTCCTTTTTAAAAAAAAAAAAAATAATTATATGCTTCTTTTGGAAGTTTTATTATTTTTTAAATTATCTCAAATGTTTTTTTTTAAAATTATTATTATCTGCTGTTTATAAAAATGTCTTTGATGCTTATATACAGTATTTTATAAAGTATTCATTTAATTTTTTCATGTTACCATTTATGTTTTGTCTTAATATTATTTGAAGAACTTCTATAAAATTATTTTTAATGTTATCATTGATGTGTACCTATTATTTTTGTTTGATTGCTGTAGCTATAGTCTAATCTTAAATTATCATGAAAGATTTCTTTAGTCACTAAAAGCAGTATTAATTCTGAAATCTTTGAATTAAGTAAAATTCTGGCAACTTTTTTGTGACTTTAGTAGAATTTCATAAAAAAAAAATTACTGTTTTCTTTAATACATTTTTCCCAAATAACTTTTTGTATCTTTTCTGCATTTCATTTATAAATTAGAATGTTTGATAGACAGTATTGTTGACAATCTATGCCTGTTGGATGTGTTAGATTTTTATGAATGTATGTTCCTGTATTTTTATAAGCTTAAAACAATTACCAGGTGATATTAAAGTACTTATTTTATCAGAATTTTGATTATGGAGGTTTTATTTGTTGTTTATGTTTTTTAATTTTATTTGTCGTTTTTGTTCAAAAGTGCTTTCATAATTTTGCTAAATTTTATTTTAATTATCAGTGTTCTTTGATTTTTATTTTTACTTGTGACAAATAAATTAATCTGTAAGGTATTCTGTAATGACTGCTCTTAATTTATATTGTTTATTCTTGCTAAAAATGAAGTGAAAAAATTTAGCTTCTGGCAAATTAATGTTTTGGCAATAAAAATGCTACCCGTACTGGACAAGTAAATATCAACGAATATAGTATTAAAACATCAAAACCCGTTTAATGGCTGAAACTAACAGAGTAGAGTTGAAAGGAAACAACTTCCGAGTTTTTTCTTGCTTTCAACTGACTTGGGTATTTTTATTTCAGTCAAACTCAATAGTGAGTTCTTTTTTCATTACTGAACTGATGACTTTCATTGTGATCCCATCTTCATTTTTGATAATATTTTAAAAAATATCTGTAAAGGGCAGTAATTGAGAAACATCATGCATGATTTACATGAATGTTCAGTTTAAAATTTTTATTTTTTTTAAATAATTTTTACCAAGTCACAGCTTACAACTAGATTCTATGATATTTTAATAAATAAAGTTATGAAATTCTTTTACTCTGTTATGAATTTTATGGTTTAGTTGTAGAAAAATTAAAGTACAAGTAGCTTAGCTCAATTTTTTTTAAAAAAATCGTATATTCAAAGCCCACTTTTTTTTACCTGTAGTAAGAAATATTTTGAAATATTGTCAGAATAATCAGTTAATTGTGCTCAATCTTTATATTTGTAGCTAGACTTAATTTATTTAGTAGTAATTTTAGTTGGAAAAATTCAAAAGAAATTTTTCTCTTCTTGCTGCTAACTTTATTGACATTTCTGAAAGTTTTGAATTGTGAAAAGTTTAGAACTTCAATATTATGATCTGCTGCACTTGAGCTAGATGCATATCTGTTGTTCTAATTATTTTATATTAATAAATTTTGCATAAATTTTCTAAAGTTATCTTTATAAAAGTCAATTATAAAAGATCAAAATATTTGTTAGAAAAAATAAATGTTTATTTAATTTTTTTATATGAATATAAAATGTGTTTTTAGTTTAAATTTCTTTTTGAAAAGTCATTAGAAACCACAAAAAATGCATTGATATTTTTAAAAGATATTTTTTAATAAAAAAGCTCTCTATTTAAACTTTTTTTTTATTGGTTTCAATTTTTTATACATCTTTATTAACGTGGTATTGAAAAATTTTTTCAATAAGGCCCAATTTTTCTGATGAATTTTGACTTAGAACTTTGATTATGAATTTTAACTTTCAACTTACTTAATTATAAAAAAAAATCTAAATTTGTAAGAAATAATTTAACACAAATTTAAAATTATTCCTTTTTAAGTCGTTAAGTCTTTTTAGTGATGTCTACTTAGAAATTATTAAATGTTTTATACTGATTTTCTTTTTTTTGATTGTTGATGTGACATAGTATTTTATATAAAATCAGTCAATAAAATTATACAAAGCTCATAATAAGTATAATCGAATCTAATTTGAAGTAATTTCAATATTTCAAGCAGAAATATTAAATTTGCAAAAATTATATAGATATTGATTGTTATTAATGTTTGATATAAAATCATCGAATGTAATACAGTCCAATAAATGTACACTTGAGTTCCTGCTTTTTTATTTTTTTGAAATTCCTCTAAGAAAATTGTATTATAATATTATTTAAATGACACAATTTTTATTCCATAGACATAAGTTTAAACAAAATTAACTTCATTATCTGGAAATAAGTTTGTATAAAGGTTGCTATTTATGGTATCAATGTTTCTCTTTATTATGAGTAACCTATATAGTTATATTTTAATCTTAAGTTATCTCAAACTGTAACATTTGTTGTTAAAAGTGTGGGCTTAGATTGGTGTCTATGATATCAATATTTCATTTTGTTATAGGTAACACATATGTTAGTTTAATTTTAGTCAGTAAGTTTAACTGAATAATTCTTAATATTAAATTATCTTAAAAAACAGAGAGAGGGTAATATATATGGTACTTATACTGATTGATTTTATGGGGCAATTTTAAGTAGGTTAGTTTCATAATTTTATGAATTCCTTTTTAACATTGGTGTGTTTAAAAAGTTTATTTTGTATTTCACGAACATCAAATAATTTGGTATAAATATTTTAAGAATGAATTAAAAATGAATCTGTTGGGTTTTTTCATGCAAGCATTGTGTGTTTAAGATGAATATTTGTGTATTCTTGAAAATTATATCTCTGTGTTTATATATATATATAATTGTCTATCATTTTTTTCTTGGAAATTTATAAATCATTGTTTTTTTATGTTTTTATACTTTTAGGAATGTTATTGCATCTCTTAATTTAATTACACTTGCCTATAACCATTTTATTAATATTACATTCAAGCGTGCAGTATATTTTAATCTTTTTTGAATTAAATCTGTTCTTCCAATTTTTTGATCAAACCAAAATTTGCACCCTATTGCAATACTTTGATAAATATTTAAAAAACAAAAATTATTGTTTCAAAATTACTATGTTGAGCTGGAGGACTTTTTATAATAAAATTTTTTTAACCAAAAAGTAAAATATACTGAATAACATATTAAAAGTATTCTAAATTTAATGTTTGTAATTCTTAAATGTGTTAATATTTTACAAAAAATGGTTGTTTTCCTTCATTTAAAATTTATAAATTGCATTATGTTTTATTTAAACATCAATTTCTTTGATTTTTTTTGTTATTAGGTTTTGAATTATTGTATTAAACGGATATAAATTCATAAATAAATAAATTTTATGCACATTTCAAGTGTTACTGTGTTTGTTGTATGATAAATATTTATGTATTACATATGTATACATAATTTTGTAAACATATGTTAAGAGCCTTGAATTATAAAATCATAAAAACTCTTGAAGGTACTTTAAGACTTACAAATTTCTTTGTATCTGTATTTAATTAAGTTTCATTAATGGTCATGATTGTTTATTCACTTAGCAGTGTTAAAAGCAAACAAACATAGGTTTGATGTTAAAGTTGGAATAATGTGTGTGCATTGATTTAATTACTTTTTATTTCTTAATTATTTGTATATTGTTGAAGCAATAAATATATTGTTTGTTTACCCTTTAGAGTTTAGAAATAAACTGTTTACAAACTAAAGTAAGTGTGTACGTCCATAATGTACTTTTGCTAAAAAGTGATATTGAATTGTGAGATTCAAATGATGACCAAAAATAAAATAGAAATTCTTGCTTGCTATACTGTATTCTTTTATTATGCCTGAATTTATAGTTGCTATAGATGTTATTTATAAATATAGCAACAACAATACCCTAAAGAATCATGTCTGAAACTACAATAAAATATATCTAACTAATGTGTTCAAAGCAGAAATAGTTTGAATTTTTTGAAAGCTCTTAAAATTTTTTTTATTCTTCTATAACTAAAGTAAAAAGTATTCTTTCATTACTAATTTCAGGGCTCCCACGGGTCAGGGGGAACAGGGAAAACCTGGAATTGTCAGGGAATTTTATTTTAACTCTAAAAAGCAGGAAATAGTCAGGGAGGTTGATGACATTATTAGTTATTGACATTTAATTTAAATAATTCTAACATCTATTACAATTATTTTATAAAATTTCACCTTTTAGTGAAATTTTTCCATTCTCATTCTATTGTATGTTTTTGCTCACAAAATCTAATATTTGAAAAAATCATAGTTTTCTGTTGAAAAATAGCAGGGTATTGATAAAATATGATGGATTTTCATTAAAATTTACCCTAGATACAATGGAAAAAGTCGGGGATTCCCCCCCCCACCACCACCACCTGAAATAGAGTGGGAGCCATGTAATTCACACAAGCGTTATTATTTATTTATTGTTTGCTCTATTTATTTTATTCCTAAACTCTTAAAGAAACTGACATTCCTTTTCGCAATCTTTAAGTTTTATATTTATTAATTTGTTTCGCTTTTATTTGTATATCTTTTTCTAACTATTTTTTCTCTGTAATGAATACTTAATTCTGTAGGCAATGATATAGTTCTAGAGATCCTTAAGTGGTTCATTTATATTATTACTGCTGCAGTTGTTTTTGCATGTACTGAGAGGATGTCTAAATTAAATTTTTAAAAATATTGCATACTGATACAGCACATAAAAATTTAAATCTGAAAATCTTTTAATTTAACACAATAATTTAAGAGGTATTAAAAAAAATTTTTTTAGACATGTGATGCTTTTTATAGGAGTACAGTTTTTAAATATCATTAATAAAGATGATTTTTTTAAAAAAAAATCTATTTTTTATAAAAACAATAACAAGCCATAAAATTTTCTGTAGATTTCAAAAATTTATTTTACCAGCAATGATAAAAACAAGCAACATTGTTATTGCTATAACACATTAATGCTTCTCTGCCTGCTACTGAAATTAGAAATGTGTGAAATGAAGATAAACATTTTATTAGTAAAAAGGTTGTATAGTGTTAATCAAATTTAATACATTTTATCTTCTATTTGGGTACAAAGTTTACAATATATAAATAATGCTTCAACGATTTTGTTTTTTGTGCAACACGTATTGAGGTACATACAGCTTTTATTAGTTGTTAAAAAATAAATTTTTATTAACAACGAAACTCCTAAGCTAAAATAAATAAGTAAAAATTACTGCATATAAATAATGCTTCAACCATCATGTTAAGTGAAAATTTTTTTTAACAAAGCACCTTAGCTATATTAAATAGATAAAACTTCAAAATTTGTGGATTCTAGTTTTGTTTAAAAAAAATGTACGTTTAAAATTAAACACATTTTATTTCAAAATACATTTTATATTATAACATAATTGGATAAGTAAAGTTTAAAAAACATAGTATGAAATATTGAAATTGTGCTAAACCATTATGAGAAAATTAGAAATGTGTGAAAGATGTCACACGCTTATCTAAAATCTTATTGCAAGATGATTCTTTGGTAGATGTTCATGAACTTGGAAACTGCTGCAATTGATACATTACACTCATTTGCTCGTGTTTTTAAATAAAACTTCTAAACTAAACAAATTTGTTTTGGGGATTTATGAATCTGAAAATAATTTATTAATTAATTATTTATTTTTATCGAATTTTCAATAATTTTCTGTATTTTTTTCAAATGGTTCAATCAAATAGATAATCATCAATAAACGTTTGCATGTGATGAGTTAAGTAATAATTGTAATATTCATCGATATTTTTGTTCACAAAACTACGAATATTCGACTTTATTTTCATAAGATTAGAAACTTCTTTTAATTTATGTACCTACAGTGTCGAGCAAATTTTATTCGGCGCCGACTCCACAGCCCTGGTTGTGACGGCTCAGAGAACCTATCATGGTTTTATGCACCAAAATTATTGACAAAAAAAAAAAAAAATTGATTGGCCCATGGGGGGATCGAACCCACGACCTTCGCGTTATTAGCACGACGCTCTAACCAACTGAGCTAATGGGCCTTGTTGGTCAATGAATTAAATATTTTTAATCAAAAAGCACCAATTGCAAATCAAAATTTTTTATAGAAAGTAAAGTTAAATTTTTTGAATATAGATTTAATTTATATAAATAAAAATAGAGAAAATAAAGTTTCCAGCATAAAAATTTCATTCCTTCTGCAAAATGATTATCTATTTATTATTTTTGTTTTTTTGCTTGCTTTTCATTTAACTGAAATTGAATTGAAATCGATGATGCATGAAAATTTATTTTATTCATCAAATATAATGGCGTAGGTGTGGAAGACTTGGTGTTTTTAATTGTTGAGGGGACATATACATATTATTGGCGACCATGGATAAAGGGAAAACGTATGAAATTACTTTTACTAAATTTTTAACGCAAAAACTGTGGAAGTTACGTATGCTCTTTTGATCGTTATTGAGAAATAGATACACTCAATAAATTCGAACTGCTGTAACTGTAACTTTTCGTAAAAATGGCCAATTACAGCAGAAATATCTAAACAGGGGGGGGGGGGCATTAGTATTAACCGGGTCCGAATTAAATGAATATCACAAAATAACATTTGAGAATTCGAACTTGTAATTTTAACTTTATGATTCGAATCGTTTTAAAATTAATTTAAAAAAAATTTGTTTTCCTGTAAATTATTTAATTTCCAATTTAACGGTATTTTTTTAATTAAGTTTATCTGTTTTTTTTTTTTTTGTTTTTTTTTAAAAGTATTATTCTGCTTCCTACGACATTTGAAACTAAATACTTTCCCCCATTGGTCAGCAATAGGAATTCGAGTAATAATGAAAATAGATCAATTGTGAAAACTTATTAAATTAAAACAGGTTCAAGAACAGTTAGAAAGAAACTTTTCCGTACCCACATTCTCAAAATTTGCCAGCTCTGAAGTGGAAAAAAAAACAGAAGCAGAACCTGTATGATTGTCAAGGAAAATAAAGGCAAGAAACCGAACTTTGAAAACCATGATAGTCGAGACCGAAAAAAAAATTAATAATTTGCAAAAGCAACTTTGGCTACATTTGATAAACCAGACGCGCTTTAAAAATTTAAACTAAAAGAACAAGGTAGATATGTCCTTCTCAACAATGAGCTGATTGTTGGAATTTTGGGCACAAATTTAATTTCGATAGTGCTAAAATTCTTTCCCTCCTCTATCAGCTCATCTTAATGCTCTGGAATTTTATATTATTCATAAGAATCCCAATACCATTGTTAACGACCTGAGCTCCTCACTATGTTTCCCTTATTTGTCTCTCATGGCTAACAGGGTTTCTCAAGTTTTTGTTTCTCTTCCTTATTTTCTTCATTCACATCTGATGAATGGGCGCCATTTTTGAGCTCTCAAAATCGCCACTGCACACTCTGAATAGCTTTTCATCTAATGAAGGGATCTTCACCCGTTCGAACTTAATGTTCAGAGGAGTGACCTCAAATATGCTAATTAATTAGTGCAGGTGATATTTTAAGTTACGAAATTAGACACAAAAACGTAATTTTTCTGAATAAACATAGCTTTTTTCTATGGATTAAGTTTTTCGACCCTCAAAATATAGGGGGTAGCCGTAATCTAGGATATATGGTCCAAGGTTTGGACCCCTTAATGTTAATTTTACTTTTTGCGTATTACGCCATATCTCGAGAACTTTTTAAGCGAATTGAAACATTTTTGCACTCGATTATGAAATCCGTTAATCCAAAGATAATTTCATGCAAAAAATAACTTTTAGTAAATATTTATTTTATTTAATATTCGAAAAATTCTTGAATTGTTGACTATTTAATTTTTGCATAATTTTTAATAATACATTTCTACATGGCAAATCCTCAAATAGTTCCTCAGAAATAGAATTTTAAAATAGTTTTTTTTTAAAAAAGAACTATTAGGCCGATTCCAATAAAAAATTTTTATTTGTCATGCAAAATTGCATTCTTTAAAATAATGTAAAAATATGTATACCTTACAATTCAAACATTTTTGACCACTATTTAAAAAAAAAAATTATTTACTAAAATTTATTATATGGATAATCGAATTTTATAATTGTGTATGAAAATTTTTCAATTCGCTTAAAAAGTTTGAGATACGTCGAAATACACAAAAAGTAAAATTAACATTAAGGGGTCCAAAATTTAGACCGCTCTCCTGACTAACATATTGAGACTCTATTTCCCAGATTACGGCTACCTTCTATATTATGGGGTCAGAAATCAGTATCCGTCGAAAAAAAAAAAGAGGTATGTTCATGCATTAATCGCATTTTCTGAAAAAGTTGATTTTGATGAAATCTCTTTACGCTAACACACATTACAAAAAAGAAAGTTTACTATAGAATTCTTTGAAACTTTGTATAATATTATACAGGGTGTCTCAGTTAAGCGTTTCAGAACTTTTAAGAGGGGTAAGGGGCATCCTGACGACTCGAATGATATGATTATATGATTTGAATTCAAAGATAAGAGAGATAGAAAAAAAATCATAATGAAAAGCATGATAAAAAATTAATAGCTATTACTTTTTTATCAAGCTCTTAGTAAGAACGTTTCTTTAAAAAATCAATATTGGACAATGTATACTATTCAATTTCTTTCTATAATTGATATTTTTTAAAGATTATAGTTCAAAAAAGATGTAATCATATTGTTGATCCAAAAAAAAAAAAAAAAANAAAAAAAAAAAAAAAAAAAAAACTTCTATGATGTTTAAGCATTAAGCAATTAAATTTGTTGTAAAGATGTTTGCGAGCCATGAAAAATTTGACCGAATTCGCCTTTATTTTGGAAAAATATTTCGTAAATTTTTGAAGTTCACTTTAGGTTTATAATTTTAGGACCCCTGCTTACAAAAAATAGAATTAGCTTTTTTATTTAAAGCTAGTGTAGGTAACAAGAATAACTGTAATAAACCTAAATAGATTCAATTCGGTAATCCTTTAAACATTTTTTAATTGACCTACAGGCTTGGTAAGTCTAAAGCATATCAAAAATAAAAAAATGCTGGAGACTTCCATATATTTTCAAAGATTTGGATTCGGAATACAAAAATAGAACCAGGCTAATTAGCCTATTTCTATTTCATTATTTTTTTTCTTTTTAAAACATTATAAAATTTTTCTAGGCTGCTAATTCATTGAATTGTATTTCATGTCATTAATGGTTTGTTGTACTTATGTCTTCGGACTCCAAGTAATATTTTCTTTTGTTCCTATCATCAAATAATGCAAATTATGGTTTGTTGTTCGCTTAAACCGCCTTCCACGAGAGATATAAGAGATATCCTAAACTGTACCTTTGTCTTTTGAGTTGGATACTAAATTGCAAAGGCGGGATACGATCATATATGGTCTCATCAGCGTTTGTCGTATCGTGTCACAACGTGGAAATCAGTGAAGACATTTGACACTGTTAGTTGAAGGCTTTTATTTTTACTAATAATTGTAACAGTTTGTATTTAAAATAGCTTTCTGAGTTTTATTGGTAAAATAGATAGCTAAGATTTCTCTTTTCATAGATTCGAACGTATGTTGTTTAGGTTGATATCGTTCAGAGCATCTTCTAAGAGTGTTATAGCCTCATGGGCGCAACCCCATCCAATGGTAACACCGGATCCTCCATGACCATAATTGTGTATAACCTGTAAAAAGAAAGAAAAAAAAAGGAGTTGGCAAAGTTAAATCAGAAGCAAATCATTACTTAGATTTTATAATGATGTTTATTCTAGCCCTTGTTCATACATAAAAAGGAGTAAAAACGGGTTTTGTGTTCAAAATATTTGAAGACCCAAAACCAACTTTGTAGCGCATTTATCAATCAAATAAGATAGACTTATTTAGCTTTCTTTTACTTTGCCACAAGTAGGACTGGGCGATATTAGAAATTATATAACGTGATGCATCGTCAGTTTTGCATCGCGATATAGCGATGTATCGCGATATAGTATTTTTGAATTTCATTTACTTGTAAGGCACAGAAAGTCAGATTTCTATCAAAACTTCATACTCAGATTGATTTAAATCAATTTATAAATTTGAAGATATATATGTTTTGCTTAAGAAAGATATTAAATAAATTGACTACAATGTACAAATCTTACTTAAAATATTTATT